ACTCTGTGTTTGGTTTTAGAATTTACATTTTGGTAATGACTCAAAAGAAATAATAGATGGAGAGGACCAAAGATTTTGTCTTCCAAATGAAACAACCTAGAAGGTTCCTGATTGAATTACTTTGCATGCTGATTATAGAGTCATCGATGGTGAAATGATAGATAGAGGGGTCCTATCAATTTTTTGTTTAAACTAGAGGGTTTCTGAATCCTGATTGAAATCATTTGCATCCTAATTGTAGAGTCATGAATGGATAAGTAATAGTTAAAGGGGCCCAAAGATGCAACCTTTTATTTTATTTTAGAAAGAAATTAGAGGGTTCCTTATTGAATCCTTTGTGTGCTAATTGTAGAGTCTCTTATGCTGAAGTATTCAAAAGCTTTGAGCAATGTGAAAGAATTAGAGGCAAGGGGATGTATAGTATTGCATGAGGTGGATGTCCACAGCATGAGCCAACACCCTTTCCTGATTAGATTACGCTTTGATCGCATAATCTATAATTTTCCTCATGCCGGTTACTTGCTTGGTCCCCTTTCTTCTGAACGCAACAGGTTCCAAATTTGGTAAGTTCAAACAAACCCATATATGCATCCCTTTTAAAGATCACGGTATATTCTCTATGGTATTTTGTGTTCATCATGTGTTTACTTTACGGGAAGGGGTTTAGTGTTTATGATTTATGTTAGAAAGATAATTAAATGAAGAATTGAAACAATGTAGTTTTGAGCATAAGCATAACACTAGCACAAAAATGTAAACAGAGGATTTTGAACTTTCATGCATTTGCAGGTTTCATCAGGATTTGATCAGGGGATTCCTAAAAAATGCACGCGAACTGCTGACCGCGATAGGAGAAATTCATGTGACACACAAGACAACATTTCCTTTCAGTGAATGGAAAATAGTTGAGTTAGCACATGAGGTTGGGTTATATCTGGTTGCTGAAGAACCGTTCTCACTATGGGATTATCCAGGTTATGAAAATAAGAGAGGAGATGGGATGTGTGATCAAACTTTTCCGGTTGGAATGTGTAGCACCTTCAAATTTGCCAAGCTGTTCTACCATTCTAGCCCTTCTTGTTTCCACCTTGGCATTACTGCTTCGGGTCCATGGTCTGGTTATTCTGGAATTAATGGTCCTCGTATGGAAAGGTAAGCTCCCGCGTATGAATTTTGTTTTCGTTTATTTCAATTTGTTGTGATTTTTAATACTACAATGAGCAAATGACTTGAAAATGTGCATCATTTTGAAACCTGGCATACGACTGTACCCATTATTTACAGTAATGTTACTGGGAATATGCCAAAATATACAGGTGCTATTGAATATAGCAAGGCTTATAGTTCAAGGGGTAGATCACTTGAATTTTCTCATGTGCTTGCTTAACTTGTTGAAAGAAAATAAGCACATAAGAAATTTCCAAGTGCTCCAATATCCCAGTCTCATATGGAAAACTTTAAACTTCCACTTTTACATCTTCAACATTAACTTGATTTAGTGCTCCAAAATATCTTACTCTTGTTTTTTTCTTGCAGGCCATTTTGCATATAAATGGATCTCTACTGCTGGTGAGGAATAGTATCAACAGATATCTTTTTTGTTTGACAGGTATGGGGTTTTTCATTCAAGCATGAGTCCCCTTGTTTCTATGCCTAAAACTCGACAAACGTTCAACTCATCAGCTTTATTTTGATTGTCATGTCTTGTGCATAAGATCATGACTTGGCTGTATCTAGCTCTGTGTATAGGATTTCAGTTTTAAATCATGGACCAAGCTTGTAAGATGAGCCCCTTTGTGGTGAAATGCAGGATGATATCAGTCAAGTACTCTGTTGCTATATAATACCTCTTCTAATGTTGACTTGCCCTTCTTCATTCAGAAAGCCTTCACCTTTCCATTGCTGGATTAATCTTGTGCTTTGTACAGAGTAGAACAATACTATCATGTCTCACTTTTTGCCCCGCTTCTTGATCCTTGAATCTCTGAGAATATTTTATGAGGTGGTTTCGTGATCCATGTATCAGTACGAATTTGTTGACCCCCTCAAGGTGAGATTGAGCATCTATCTGAAACCCTACTCCGCTAAAAATGTTCGAAATTAATTGGTGTTTCAATTCAGCTTGAATTTAGAAGGTACTTTACCCTGTACATGTATTAGCTAAATGTAGAGTGACTTATTATCAAAATGTAGCTGATATAGAGAATAGAACCTTCCATAATCCCCCCATACACTCTTCCTCAGATGCATGTTATCAAAATCGTTAAAAACCCCTGCAAAACAGAGGCTGGTTTCTTTTGCAGTTTTGAGTTTTAGGGGTCTTTAGACTTTGTCAAACATAGACAGCCTGGGAAAGAAGGATCCGGATCCTTTGCTTAAGTTTTCTCTATTAAAATCTGCTTGACTTTTAATGTGAGGATGCCACCACAATAAAATATAATCCAAGGGCTACAAGAATCACTTATGCTAATAAATAGAATCTAAAAACAATTTTTTTATTATCTTCTTCTTCTACCTGACCACAATAAATCTCCTTCTTATCATGGGCAAAACCCAATTCGGGAAACTCAAATGGTCGCCATGGCCATGATAAAATCAAATTGCTCTTGTTTCTTCTTCTACGCTACAAAATTAAAATCGCATTTGTTTTTTTATTAATTGGCTTTTGTAGATCTATCATCTAATACTCGAGCTTGTTTGATGGGGAGGATTAGACTAGACTGGACTATACCAGCAAATTGCTTACATTTGATGTGCATTCAAGCATAATATGGATATGTTGCCTAACTTGTAGGATGAATGGGGACTATCTATAAGAGTTTGATAACTAAAACTTATCCCTCTTAATCCCTCAATTTTCTAGGGGATTAGGGGAATAAATTTTAGTCATCATCCTCTTATGAATAGTCCTCATTCATTCTCGAAATTAGACAGCAATATCCATATTATGCCTTGATTGCTAGTCTAGTCTGGTCCTCGTTATCAAACAAGCCTAAGAAAAACAAAATGCCTTCATCCAAGATTAGAATAAGAGGAGAAAAAGTGATTCCCCCGTTGATTGCTTTGGATTCAAAACACAGATATTCTCTTTCTTGTTTTTAATATGAGAGAGTGCAAGAAAGGTATTAATTGGGTCTGAAATTAAAAGGAAAACAAATAGAAGACGGAAAAGGGGCAGCAAATGAAAAATAGCTTCTTCGAATTCTAGACTGAGAAGAGAAAGGTAAACCATGATTTTGTCATGTCCATGCGACTAGAGAAAATTTAAGTGTTGACGTTGTAAATTTAGGCTTTGTCGGTTCTAATTTATGAAGGAGGAGACATAAAGATATTAGATTCTGGTTGTTAAAATATTTTATTATGTGTTTTCCTTTTTAATAGTATATGTGTTAATTCTTTTATCCCTTTGATTATATTTTATTGAGGTGGCATCCCACAGTAAAAGCCAAGCCAATCTTAGAAAAGAAAATCCAAGCAGAGGAACCGGATCTGGTAAAGAAAACTAGGAGACCTTACAATTACCAAGACGCATGCATGTAAGCCTTCAAACTTGTAATTCTTTGGAAACCATGAATGGGTTAATATGACACACTTTTTCTTGTTAATCCCTATGTGTGCCTTCTTAATCAAACGGTTAGGCTAACAATTGCCCCCTACCCTGCAACTCTTAAGTAGATGTTCAAGAAAAAAAATTAAAAACAAGAGATCTAAAATGGGAGAGAAAACGATTATGCACTATAGCAGCTCTCAGAAGATACTCTTAGTGGGTGAGGGCAACTTCTCCTTTGCTGCTTGCTTAGCCAAAGAATTTGGCTCTGCTGTGAAGATGGTTGCAACTTCTTTCGACTCCAAAGGTAACAAGGGAGAAATTGACTACCATCGTTATTGCACTTGCTACAAGTCAATTTCCTGACTGAATTCATTTACACCTTAACCGCAGAGTCTTTAATGCAAAAGTATTCAAATGTAATGAGCACTTTGAATGAGCTAAAGGGCAAGGGATGTACGGTGTTGCATGATGTGGATGTTCATACCATAAGCCAACACCCCCGGCTAACGAATAGACGATTCGATCGCATTGTCTTCAATTTTCCTCATGCAGGTTTCATCTTGATGGAACATAACAAGATCCAAATTAAGTAAGTTTAAATAAAGACTAATATGCTACATGGATCATAATATGGTAGACAAGAAGAAGGATGTTGGTAATGTCTCTTTTGACTGATGTATTTTTCAGGTTGCATCAGGATTTGGTCAAGGGGTACTTCACCAGTGCACGTGAAATGCTCACAGAAAGTGGAGAAGTTCATGTGACTCACAAGACCACCCATCCTTTCAGTAAGTGGAACATAGTGAAGTTAGCAGAAGAGGTTGGGTTGTTTCTGGTTGAGGAAGCACAGTTCACACGAGCAGATTATCCAGGTTATATAAACAAGAAAGGAAGTGGAAGGAAATGCAACCGTACTTTCCGTGTTGGGCAGTGTAGCACCTACAAATTTGCCAAGCTACCACTTCAACTGTACTTTCCGTCTTGAATTCTTGAATTACTTGTGCTCTGTCATCTCTAGGCCTCAGCATGCATATTGTATTCTTGGTGTTTAAATCTTGGTGTGGGGTAATGCAGCAACAAGCCAGCTAGTGAATTGGGTCATTTCTCTCTAAGGAGTTTTCATTTAGCTGAGAATCTTCCTCCTTATAAGATCAACCTACTTGATGGAAGACAACTCTTCTTGTCTGTTGTAGACCCGAATTGTTTATGGGGGATAGCCAATTGACGGAAGACAATGACTGCAGTGCAGAAACAGGCCTTTCTTACACCAGTTATATTTTGAATCTCTTATGCTTCCATCCTGTCAAGTACAAAACAGATAAAAGATGTTGATTCAAGGAATCAATACCACAAAACAACTAAACTAAAACTAAACTAAATAGGAGGTGAGCAGAAATTACCTCAAGACACACGTGGGTAAAGAGTCATTATTTTGTAAAGCTACTTCTGTTCACCTATTAGCTAACATTGCTTCCTCAATACTCCTAATTACAACACTAAGACCACTGCCACTTCCTAAAGCTTCAACTGCAGCTCGGTGTGCATTTTTATGCCATTTGAGCAAATTGTAAGATTGTAGAAGGGACCATCTTGCTTGGTTTGACATCTTCTCAAGATAACAATGAAAAGAAAAGGTTTGAAAATTTTAGTATTTTTAGTGAAAGAAGATCACAGAACTACAGAAGATAAGTTATAGAGATACCTCAGCAACAGACAATGGGGGTTGTAGAAGAACACAGATGCTCCTAAATAGATTTTCATCATTTTCTCCACCCTCTGCCTCACCATAAACAAGAGCTTCAGCAGCAATGCCTGCAAAAAGCACCATGCAGTACCTGAACATTATGTGAAGAAATTAGTAAATATTGGGCATGAGTTATTACTCTTACTTCCACAAGACTTCATCAGAAGAGCTAATTAAAGCTAGAACTTAGGAAACCTGGGATATTTTGCATAAAATTCAACCTAAAGCAAAGGACAAAACATTTTGCAAAATTCTTCAGCAATCAAAGCTACACATACAGACAGAAATAGATTCCCACATAAGATTAAGACAGAATCTATCTACAGTTCAGTTTCAGCATATTTGTTCAAGGAAGGTAGATACATCACCCTATAGAGAGTTTTTGTTCTCTTGTCTGCAATTTCATTTCACACCCACCTGTCAAAAGCAGAGCCATCAAGTCGTCCTTCAGCAAGGTCATTGGCCATTTTCTCATCCCAAAATTGAGTTCCTGCCTGTAATATGGTATAGTAATATGAGCTCTCCTTTTGATCCTAACAGCACTGCATTACCATGAAGCTATATGTATGGAATCAAGGAGTACAAGTCAATTGCTAGCATCACTACATATCAATAATGAATGATCATCCTAAAACAAGGTCAAGATTTTAAATATTGCAACCCAAAAGAATGAATATGAGACTGTCTCTCTAAGAAGACGAAGAACCTAAGCACAATGAACAAACCCCATAAGAACTAAATTAATCATTTAGTTACTATCCTCTGAGTTTTCATAAGATTAGACACGTACTTGAACCTGAGTGGCATCCTATGCTAATTCTACTTAAGGAAAGTATTCAATGAAGTCAATTAAAGCAACCCTGCGTGGAAGATTATAGATGACAAGATGAAAAATGGCAATAGATATATACGATTGCTCTGTAAAGATGCTACATATGACCTACCACCATCCATACAATATAGTAAAGAAAGAGCAAGAATCACATTCAAATCTTAAATCCATCCAATAGTAACTTCACATAGGTTTAGAATCCATTAAAGTTTTAACATATAAGGTTCCAACAAACCAAACCAACATACAGATACATACACATATATACACATATTTTATCAAGATATCTCCATGAATGGTAATTGCTTGAAACACATTATGATGGCATGAATAAATTGGTCAGTGAACAACAAACAAAACCAAGTGATGCCCATATGAAGCACATAGAAGGCAAGAAATTACCTGCCCTTGAATGCCCATTTGCATTGCAACAATTGGATCTAATATCACCCCACGAATTGGGCAACCCATTAGATAAGCTGCAATTTAAAACAGCAATCAGTTAATAGCACAGGGTTTACACTCTTGCAAGGATGTAGCTTTAGTAGAGTCTAGTGGTTGAAGAAAGAAATGTAGTCCTATAGAAGAATTTAAGGAATGGTTCACGCCCTCAGTCCAAACCACAACATCGCCCAAATTTGTAACATTCAACTCTAAAATACGGATCAGAAAAAAAGAGTGTTTACCTATTAGCAGATGCCCTGCTTCATGAATGAGGATCCGACGTCTATTTGGGGGCCAATAACTTGAGATTTGAGCTAAACAACTACCACCAAGAAAGACAGAATCTGCAAATGCTAGCCCCAATACTGCTGCAAGGTTAGGCCTGAGATCGATGCCTTGAGAAAGAAGAAAAGATATCCCGCCAAGAAAGGCAATCAAAATGGGAGCAGAACTTTCAGAAAGGCCCCACTTTTTTGGAGCAAATTTCGTTGCTGGACAAAGTAAGTAAGAAATGGAGTATTAGATCATAAGGAGTCAGGACATGCATTTTGCCTCAGAAAAGAGTATTAGATACAGAACATTTTCCACAAGAGCAGAAAGGTATAAATCTCTAACAATTAGTTATGCACATGAAAAACCATGTCAAAGAAATCGGAATAAACACCTTCTAAACCAGTTGAAGTCTTCAACACTGTTGGTGTAACATCACGCGTTCCCTCCATAACTGCAGGGTTGAAAGGAAAAAAAACACAGAAAACAACATGAGATAATGGCATGAGCCCAAAAGTTCAAATGCATCCAAGAGGGCCTTAAAAATGTGTATATCAGAGCTGATCAGACCTAAGATTTAACATAATAATGATATCATGCAGGCAGATGGATACATAGTTTTTCACTAATAAGACAACCAAAACTCCATCTGACAAAATCAACAAACTTCATGAACAGCCAATTATTGTTGGGCAACAATTAGGATCAAATGGTAAGCAAATTATGCAAATACCCAAGAAATCTTAAATCAAAATAAGCAAAGTTACATTACCAACGTTCCTGAACTTTCCAAAACTGGGCAAGAAACCCTTGTCCTTGAGAAAGCCATAAGCTTTGCCCACCAGCTTCATATTATCAGCATTCAGACACGTGTCCAGGACCTCCCAATCCCTCTCCTGCCCAACAAACCCCAACTCGCCGAGTCGAGGAAGGGTAGGGTCAGCTGGTAAGGACCCATTAACAAACTCAATTGGGTTTTGCTGGGTCTCAATGGATTGCAAGAACCTGAGAGCTCCAGCTAGGTCCTTGCGCTTCACTGCCTCCTCATACTCTTTCCATTCTCGAAGAGCGGATTTTGGGACGGTTTGGCGCCTTGAGGTGTGAAGGAATTTGGAGGATTGTGGTGCACGTGGGGGTGTTTGGAGGAAAAGAAAGGAAAATTGGGAGGAAAATGGCTGAGGTGAGAGAAAGTGAGGGATGGATTTGAGGTTTGGCGAAGCAAAAGCCATGAGAGGCAGCCCGCTGGAGAGCAGTTTGTTTATTAGTTGGGTTTTTTCATTGGCTTTGGAAGTTGGGTACGCAGCAGCTGGTTCATTGGTTCATATCACAACTAATTTGAGCCCTAGCTGGTTCATTGGCTATGTCCATTTGACCACAATCAATTTGAGCCTAGCCCTTTTAAACTTTAAATCCTAAATCCTACCCCTCGGATCCATAACAATTAAATAATAGCAATCATAATCCCCGAGCTTTGGATTTTGATTTCAATCTTCACATTTCAAACAAGTCTTGAATGCAAGTCTCCAACTCTAAGCATCAAGCTTCTTACTTCAAATACAAACCTTGAGCTTGGACCTCAATCATGCATCTCAATCTCCGAAGTCTGATCCTAGATTCGAATTCTAAGTAATAGGAATGAGAATGAGATGAAATCAAGTTAGAAACTTAATTGGATTCCATTATTTGTTTTCACATATTGGAAACAAAGTTTGGAATGAAATTTGAGATTAGGGTACTATCTTAGTGGTAGTGTAGAATAACCATTTTCCTTATAGGTTATATTAGCTACATGTTTTTTTTAGAACTATATTAGCTACATGTTAATGGTAAAAACGAGAGGGTACATTTGATACACAAAGTGACATGCTGATAAAAATATCGAGTTCATTAACTATAACACACGTATTGGGTATTGAGTTCACCATTTGAGACTTCAGGTTTTCTAGAAACTAAATTCCTTTCCATTTCTTTTTCATTCAAAACTAGAACCAATGAGTAGGAAGTCACCCACCACGAGCTAGACGACTGTGTCTGTGTGTGGCAAAATCCTCTTAATATACTTTCACTAATTTACCACAATTTCTTTTTGGAAAAAAAAAGAAAAAAGAAAGCTTTTAGTGCGGATACAACATTAGAAGAGGACGAGGAAGGAGGGGAGACCAGGAGAGACTGAAGAGTGTGCATCCAAAAAGTCCAACCAAAGAAGGGCCCATCCGTGCTTGTGATGCTGTTGGTGATATTATTGCTGTGATCATAAGTTCAATAGCACACTTCGCCACTTTTTTCTCAATCTCAAAAGCATCGAACATCTTGAACCTCTCCTCAACGATAAGAGAAATCCACGACCCCCACACAATACCCAATCAATCCCATTGTTCTTCCCGGCCACATCTCCCCCAATCAAACTCTTCCATTTCTCACTCCTCACATCCACAAAACCAACCACCCATTAACACTCTCTTCTCTCAGTCAACTTCTCTGTTTACCATTGAAACTTGAACACCACCTCCAACAACAGCAATGGCTTCTGCCACCACACCCACCACCTTCTCTCTCCTCCAAACCACCATCGCCTCCACCTCCCGCACCCGCTCTTCTCTCTCCCATGTCTCCTTACCCTCTTCTCTCAAACCCACCACTCTCCGCCGCCTCGGCTTCTCCGCAGCCGATCCCCTCTTCGCTCTTCAGGTAGCTTCCAAAATTCGATCCTTTGGCTCCGGCAAAGCCGTTAGAGGCGTTGTGTCAATGGCGAAGAGGAGCGTTGGAGACCTATCAGTAGCTGACTTGAAGGGGAAGAGGGTGTTTGTCAGGGCTGACTTGAATGTGCCTTTGGATGACAGCCAGAACATCACTGATGATACTAGAATTCGCGCTGCTATTCCCACCATTAAGCATTTGATTGAGAAAGGGGCTAAAGTCATTCTTTCCAGTCATTTGGTATGTGGATTCTTTAAATAATGTGTTTTTGGTTACTGGGTTTCTTTGTTTTCTCTGATTTTGATGATTAGCAGTCGCTATTTATAGTTTCTTTGTCAACCTTGCTGAAATGGGTATTCTTTGTTGTCCTTTCATTGATTTGGAATGAGGCTGAAGTCAATATTTTTAGACATCTGCTATGTCCATTTTAAAGTATATGAGCTTTGTATCTGTGGCTTTTTTGAGAATTGAATTGGTTGTACGTTATTCTGAGTTTATCATTGTGTTGATTTTGGTCGCAGTGGTTCTTTTAGTTTCTACAGTTCATACGTATTCAAATTTGATAGCTTTTCTTTGGACCTGTTACAATGTATGCTTTCTTTCATCACGTTGATTGAGAATATTATCAATCTCTCTAGCCATTTGTCATGTGAATAAATGAAAGATTCGAGTTTTGGAGAATTTAATTGGTCCTACGCACTTGTGAATTTGTCAGTCTCTTTGTTTTAGTTGGGTCTAAAATATATAACTACGATAGCTTTTGCTTTCAATATGTCATAATGATGATTTGGAAATCTTTTCCTTAAATTGGTTTGACTTCGGTTAGCTGCTACTATGCTCACCTGCTTAAGTAAATTATAGGCTGGTATGTGATACAAGCTGAATCAATGTGCATTTAATTTCAGGGACGACCAAAAGGTGTGACCCCAAAATTTAGCTTGGCACCTCTTGTACCTCGGCTATCTGAACTTCTTGGGATTCAGGTAGACATTTTGATTCAGGAGTAAATTGGGAATAAGAAGACAAATCAAAATGGCAGTGATTATGAGTGGATATTGAAACTGATTTTGACTACTTCTACTGATATTTGCATATCATAACTGAAACAGGTTGTGAAGGCTGAGGACTCCATTGGTCCAGAAGTAGAAAAGTTGGTGGCTTCACTTCCTGATGGCAGTGTTCTTCTTCTTGAAAATGTGAGGTTTTACAAGGAGGAAGAGAAGAATGATCCTGAGCATGCAAAGAAGCTTGCCTCCTTAGCAGATCTTTATGTCAATGATGCATTCGGTACTGCCCATAGAGCTCACGCCTCAACTGAGGGGGTCACAAAATTCTTGAGGCCATCTGTAGCTGGTTTCCTTTTGCAGAAGGTGAGGGTTTCCTTTTGCAGAAGGTGAGGGTTCCCATTTTCATTTCTGCTGTAGCAGTAACCTTCAGTTATTCTGCAGCGCTTTTTTAATCCTTAAAGGAATACTTATTTCATAGTTTGAAGCCTTTGATTATAAGTTATAACCTATTCCAGCTAATGGTGTATTTAGATTCAAGTGTGCAACTCAAGTTGGCATGGGTAATTGGACTGCATTGCCATTCCTGCAGATGTTTTGCACAGTAGAAATTGCTAAGATATCTCTGTTTGAACTGATTTTCAATTTGTATTTACTTTTAAAAGATTATGAAAGTATAATCTTATTAAAAATCATCAAGCATTGGTCACTCCCTGCGGTGCGAATATCTGGTTTAAGTTTTATTCACTCTTATTTATTCTTCTTAGGAACTCGACTATCTTGTTGGGGCAGTATCAAGTCCAAAAAGACCATTTGCAGCCATTGTTGGTGGTTCAAAGGTCTCATCCAAGATTGGGGTGATTGAGTCACTTCTAGAGAAGGTTGATATCTTACTTCTTGGTGGCGGAATGATTTTCACATTTTACAAGGCACAGGGTCTCTCAGTCGGTTCGTCTCTGGTAGAAGAAGACAAACTAGAACTTGCTACATCACTCATTGCAAAGGCCAAGGCAAAGGGAGTGTCTCTTTTGTTACCCACTGATGTCGTAATTGCAGACAAGTTTGCTCCTGATGCAAACAGCAAGGTTTACTTTCTTGGCTGACCTTTAACAATTTTATTCTTCAGATTCACAACATAACATTCAATGCTCTATCTCCCTGCTGGAAGCTAGTTGATTGAAACTGATGTCGACTTTAATCCAAATGATTCCACCAATAATAGTAATGTGTTGATATTTTATTAACTTTGATCAGCACTTCATGAGAAAGGAATGAAGAATTGGTTTTGTCCTCGCAGATTGTTCCAGCTTCAAGCATCCCTGATGGGTGGATGGGACTGGATATTGGTCCAGACTCTATTAAGACATTCAATGAGGCACTGGATACCACTCAAACCATCATCTGGAACGGACCAATGGGAGTATTTGAGTTTGACAAGTTTGCAGAAGGAACAGAGGTATGCACGGGTCTTTTTGCTGGTATTCACGTTTGTTCATAAACCTGTTTAGAATTGATGTCTGCAATTCCTATATCTGTTCTTCTTACTAATGCATACTGTGTGGATCAGGCATATCTTGTATGGAAGTAAATCCTTTAGAGACCAGATAGATTGTTCTTGTATTTATTTGTGTACAATCTAACTTAAGTCTGGGCTGCCCTAGTTTCCTGATTAACCTACTTTTTTGCTTTTATGTACACAATGAACTGTACATTGGAAACAAAAGGATTAAGTTTAATTTCTTGAAGTGTTCCATAGCAGTTAGCACCATTTACCTAAGTTAGTTTGATGTATTTGACCATGTAGTGGAGTTGTGCAAGGGAAGCCTTTAGCTTCTTGCTTGTTATAATTACTCTCTTTGGAATATGGATATGCGGATGGTAATTAAGTTATACCTCTTGCTTGCAGTCTGTTGCAAAGAAGCTTGCAGAACTTAGTGGGAAGGGAGTGACAACAATCATTGGAGGTGGAGATTCTGTTGCTGCCGTGGAGAAAGTAGGAGTTGCTAGTGTGATGAGCCACATATCGACTGGTGGTGGTGCTAGTTTGGAGTTGTTGGAAGGTAAACAACTTCCTGGTGTACTCGCTCTCGACGAAGCCACACCGGTTCCCGTGTAAGAACACATTTTTTTCTCTGTATTCTTTACCTGCCCACCGTGTCGGTGTTTCATTTGTGTCTGTAAGCGAGAGATGACATGTTGTAGGAAGATACGAGTTCTTGTTGTAAATGTTCAATGTTACCTTTGATATAAGGTCCCAATGTCTCTGTATTCCTTGCATCCTACCAAAAAATTTCCGTAAGAGATTGTGGGGAGGGATAAAGACAGCCATTCAAGCAATCTAATAAGTTGGTTCTTTGCCATTATCTTTGTATACTGTGTCAAGGTTCTTGTCTGAATTTGGGCTATACTACTATAATCTTATTCCTAATTACAATCTGTCCCAATGTCTCACATCTTGCATTTTTCCCATAAAATTCATCTGCCTAGAGGATAATGCTTTGACTTCTGTTGAACACAGAAAAATGCTAGGGACAATGTGCGTAGACGATTTCCGCTGTTTATACCAGTGGATGCATTGTGAATCTCACTTACATCAACCTACCAAATTCTACGTCATGTTTTCATATTAAATTACTTGTCTGCATTGGTGAAGACCGATTGCTCTTATGCAAAAGACATGCATATAGAAACACCATACGCACCCATGATGCAGCCATGAACCATGACTCCATTGTCTCCGCACCCGTGTCAGGCCGTCAGCCCATCCCCATCGCAAGTCACGGTCGATCTACAAAAGTCGAACCCCAAAACAAAGCTTCTTAGACCAACCACCCTTTTTATTATTATTAATATTATTTTTTGCAAACAACCCCTTTTATTTATTTGCCCTACAAAAAGTTACCGGCCAACAAAAAGAATAATTCATTCTTTTTATCAAATAGAATAATTCATTCTTTGATGCTCAATCAAATAGTTATTTCTGATCAAAAACCATAAATCATTTTATCATAGTTTTTTTTCTTATTCAATTTTTATCATAGATAACTGGTTCATCGGGCAAAAAAAACCTAAGAAGTATTTCGGGACATATGCAAAAAAAACCTAAGTAGTCTCACATTCCTAACAAGGGTTTGGTTAATTCAGCTTCCTTAAATTGAAAGAAAAAACCAAAATGCAATGTATATTTAAACTATTCTTTTCTGTCGGCAAAAAACTTTACATTTTTTTCCCTTTGTTGTGATTTGTGGACCACAAGATCTCTCATGAGATGATTGAGGGGTATTTTGATCATATGTGCTTCCACACTTACACATCATATGGTATTTTTTTTTTACCATTATATACTAAATGAAAAGTTTGCAAACAAAAAATGAACACTAAAGATAAATGTGAAACACAATCTCACTTTACATCTCATGCTTTGTAATAAAGAAACTTACAGACTAATATTTTAATACAATTGAAGATTGAGCCTCAAAACAAAGGATTACCAAGAAAAAAGAAAGTCTTAAATATATATATATATATATATATTTTATACAAGTGATATTCTATTTTAATATGATCTAAATTACGTAGAGAGGGAATCAAACTCGGATAAAGAGTGGGAAGCACATCTGCTATAACCAATTTAAGTAAGCCCATATTTGCAAAGAAAATCTTAAATCAAAAGAGCCCAAATGGAAATAGTCCACCAAGAAAATGAATAATTAGCTTATAAAAGAGAGGAAAAATAAAAAAGAGCCTAATTAGAATCCTAGGAATATGCCAAAACATTTTAGGTGAAAAATTAAAAATGAAGACACCACAAAAATCATTTACTGCCAGCCCAAGGTTTCTCTAAGGCCAAACCCACAGAAAGAAGATCCTTAAGCTCTTCGTGTTGCCCAAGAATAGCAATAACTAGGTGCGCTCCCAAGAAAACTCGCACGTGCCGTACATATCACGCACCTACCTCTATAAAATCACCTTCTCGAACTCCTCAGTCTTCTTGTCTTTGTTCTTCGATCTCTCACTCCATAACCCACCACATTTTTTCTGATCTTTGTCACCGTAAGCTCTCAAAATCCAAACTTTCACGCATCTTTGTTTGTATTTAACAAATCCTTGATCTGGGTTCTGATCTTTTTCTACTATTTTTCGTTTTGTTGAAGGTACTTTTTTCGCTGTGACTGTGATGGCGACCAAGAGGAGCGTGAGTACTTTGAAGGAGGCTGAGTTGAAGGGGAAGAGAGTGTTTGTGAGGGTTGATCTGAATGTTCCTTTGGATGACAACTCCAAAATCACTGATGATACTAGAGTCCGTGCTGCTGTGCCCACCATCAAGTACTTGCAGGGCCATGGTGCCAAAGTCATCCTCGCTTCTCACTTGGTAAGCCACGCCTCCCATCAATCCACTCTTTCTCTTATTTGTGTTATCTATTATAGCATCTGGGTTCATTTTTTCTGTGACCAATTATTTATGTTTGTTTGTGGTTGTGTAAGATTTGTTTTTTTTTTTTTTTTTTTTTTTTTTTTTTTTTTGGTTTTGTTGAAGTTTTTTTTTCCTATTGGGTTTATGCTGAAAAACCCCTGTTTAGATCCCCTTGCATGGTAAACTCAGATCTTATCAGTTTGGTTGATGTGGGTTGTGATGGATTTGCTGCTTGGTCTATGTAGATAATTTTGAAGATCTCTATTATGTGCTGTAACTTTGTGCCCAGTATTGGACTTTCCAATAACATTTAGTTATACTTTAATTTATTCATTGATTTTTATTTTTGCGTTTTTAATTTTCCTTAGATCAAAAGCTCGTCTTTCAGTAATGTTGTTGGGTCTTAGGATCTTGTCTGGTAATTCATCTGCTCATAGTTTCCTAGCAGAGATTTCTTTTTCTTTCAGTCATTTTCTTCCTATCAGTTAATTGACCCCTAGGATTGAACAGGTGTCAATGGTTTTGCAGTTTTTGTTTGCCTTTTTATTTGCTAAACTAACTTGAGGTAACCTTTGAAAGTTACTTACGAAAAAGTTCTTTGAATTTTTGTTTTTCAGGGACGTCCCAAGGGAGTCACTCCCAAGTACAGTTTGAAACCTCTTGTGCCAAGGCTGTCTGAGCTCCTTGGAGTTGAGGTTTGTATTTTATTAACAAAACAGTTTTGCTCCTAGGAAATTTCATGGGAAGTTCTATTTGCTCATCTTTTTTATTTTCTATTTTCCTCTGTTACTTTACAGGTTAAGATTGCCAATGACTGTATAGGCGAGGAAGTTGAAAAATTGGTTGCTGAACTTCCAGAGGGAGGAGTTTTGCTTCTTGAGAATGTTAGGTTCTACAAGGAGGAAGAGAAGAATGACCCTGAATTTTCCAAGAAGCTTGCTTCACTTGCAGATGTTTATGTGAATGATGCTTTTGGTACTGCTCATAGGGCTCATGCATCAACTGAGGGAGTGGCCAAGTTCTTAAAGCCTTCCGTTGCTGGATTCCTTATGCAGAAGGTATGTCGGTTGTAACTGACAATTGCACCTAGTTAAATTTCAAATTCTTCACTGCCCTACTTTTCATTGAAGTGATTCCCACTAGGAATATGATGGTCACAAAATGTTTCACATCTGGATCCTTGAAATTGTTGAGGGAAGAACAGTTTTCTTGTCATGATAAACACATCTTTTATTTTTGTGTTGATCTCAGGAACTCGATTATCTTGTTGGTGCTGTGGGAAATCCTAAGAGGCCATTTGCTGCTATTGTTGGTGGTTCAAAGGTGTCATCCAAGATTGGAGTGATAGAATCCTTGTTGGAGAAGGTTAACATTCTCTTGCTAGGTGGAGGAATGATCTTTACTTTCTACAAGGCCCAAGGTTATTCAGTTGGATCATCCCTTGTGGAGGAAGACAAGCTTGATCTTGCAAAATCACTTCTTGAGAAGGCCAAGGCTAAGGGGGTTTCTATTCTGCTCCCAACTGATGTAGTCATTGCTGACAAGTTTGCTGCTGATGCAAACAGCAAGGTCAGTGGTTACTTTCTATTTGTTTAGTAATCCTGTTGGAAATGGTGAAATTCTCGAGTTCTCAAAAGATTATATTTGCCTGCAGGTTGTGCCAGCGTCTGCTATTCCAGATGGTTGGATGGGATTGGATATCGGACCAGACTCGATCAAAACTTTCAGTGAAGCTCTGGTTACCACTCAAACCATTATTTGGAATGGACCTATGGGTGTTTTTGAGTTCGAAAAGTTTGCTGCTGGGACTGAGGTACTTAATAAACTATATTTCTGCTGAATTATCAAGCATCTATTACCTATTAACCTAATTCATAGAAGACTCTATACTCTGCTCAGCCCTATTTGTTGATTTGAATTAGATTATTTGTCTTCTTTTTTGCCCATTTGTGGTACATGAGCATCATTGACCAACTCCTTATCAATTTCGATTAATTTCAATATGAACTGAATAACAATTAAACAGATTCTATTTTTTGTGAAAAGAAGTACAAATAGCAGAATTTAATTCCCAACAGCGATCCCTCTTCTTTTCTTTTTCGTTTAAAAGAATACCACGATTCTGTATATTATTCACCGTGTATATTTTTTAATTGTTTAATTCGCGAGGAGCACGTGTGTCGCCCAGGGCAAAAGGGGCATGATGACTTGACGTCATCCTCACCTTCCTCCGGCTTTTCACTGGCAGTCTGCTGAGACTGGGTTTTGTGTCAACTCAGATCTGTGTATAACTGTTTTTCCATCCAATTGGTTTCTTTCAAGTCACTCTTGAGAAGATTTTTATCATAAATGCTGAAAGCCCTGTGATATTTCATTAAAAAATGTTGTTCCTTCTGGGTCATATAATAAATTGCAGATTATTAGTCTTTTTCTAAAGTAATCTTTTGGATACTATGCAATTACCCTCTCCAAAGTAATTGCTTCTACTGCCACTAATCTAATTCTTTTCTTGTTAACAGGCAATAGCTAAGAAGCTTGCAGAGCTCAGCGACAAGGGGGTGACAACAATCATTGGAGGTGGTGACTCAGTTGCAGCTGTAGAGAAGGCTGGGCTTGCTGAGAAGATGAGCCACATCTCGACTGGAGGTGGTGCAAGCTTAGAGCTTCTCGAAGGGAAATCACTCCCCGGAGTCCTCGCACTTGACGATGCTTGAGCTGAATTTTTTCTCAGTTTTCGTGCATTTTGTCGTTGTTAGATGGGTTGGTTTTTCAACCAGAATGGTTCAAGTATATCAGAGCTGATCATGTAGAGGCTATATAGGCTAGAGATTTGAATAAGTGCTCTCTTGAGGTCTAACCATTTTAATGTGCATTGCTTTGTTTGGATATATTTTTGGAACAAATGTTAATGATCCCAGAGTGCTTTTCTGAGCTCAATATCAGTTTGGTATGGAATGTGTGATGTTTTTGGAATACATGAATGTTGTTGCTCCTTATAAAATGACGTGGAATGGATATTATCTTGATGTGTGGTGGGCTGCACAATCTGGATATTGTGGGACATGGGTTTGGGACAACTATTTGGAAGGGTCCATCTTGAGATGGTGAATGGGCCTCATTTCGATTAAACTGATATTTCGTTCTCCTATTAAACTGAATTTGAATTGACTGAAAAATAACATGATTTCTTGACCTAAATTATAATTGAGAAATAAATGAAATTTTTTTTGTTCTCTTCATTATTTAAAGATAATTTCTATTTTCAAGTGTTCAACTTGATCCACCTAGATACGAAAAATTCATATATAAATGCGTATAATGGGGAGGAGTGAGACTTTTTTGAGTCTCACTAATAGTTTCTTAATAGGCATTATTGTGTGGTGCTACTTTGGTTGGGAAAAAGAAGTTGGGATACAAATTTGAAGTACTGTGACACATACGGCATCTTTATAGAATAAAAAGATCACTGAGATCGAGTCATTCTATGGTGAGAGTGTAATCTATGGACTATAGATGTGGATCTTCATATTAGCCACATGATTCATCTAAATAGTAATTTCACTTAAGTTTAATGAAATGATCATGTGACTAATATGAAGCTCCACATGAGAGGTCCATATATAGCACATTCACTATATAATTTCGCCATTGATATGAGATAACATAAACTATGAACGGGTCATCCTCTGTAAAGGGTAGTTATCCTCTCACTCAAGTTCGATTCTTGGTCTAGTGGTATTTTTCTTTCCAATGTTTGAAAACATCCTAAGTCCAAGTATGAATCCTCCTCCCTCAATTATAAACAAAAAAAATTAGCAAATGTGGTTTAAATCAATAAATATTTTTCTAACTCAAGTTTAAAAGATGAAAAATTTATTCTTTACTTGTCAATTACTTATGACCACAATTATGTGTTGTGGTTTATTATCATTAAAGGAATTGATAAATGGCCAAATTAATTGAAGGTGCATAACTCTTCCCAATACGTTTTACTTGGGAAATAAGCGATGCAATGAAAATAGGAAAGAATCTAACACCGCTGTAATAATCTTTGGGTTCAATCCCTACTAGATTTAGGGTTCTTCTTATTTATTTATTACTTTTTCTGGTAATCAAAGTTGATTTATTTCTTTTTTTGAAAATAAAGTTGATTTATTAATTGAAAAGCGTAAAGATGGTTTGAATCCAAGGTATCCCCTTATGCAAGAAAACATATTTACCGTGTCTGTAAAATTGGACTTTGTGTGCTAGGAAAACAAAGAGCAGCAAGAAAAGGAAAGTCCTTTGGTCCAAAGCAATAATAAATAGACAGGAAATAAAATAAAATCTGAAGTTTTCTTGCTCGCTTGGGAATACTAAGGAATATGCCAAGGCAGTAGTAGGAAAAGAGACCTATATATATGTCATGTTTCAACACTTTGTCAATCCATCAATTAAGCCACAACTCAAAACAGAACCTCCCGCCCAAGAAACCCTTTTCTCTCATAAACCCCACACATAAACCCGTTGCTTTCTTTGCCTTTCTTTGCCAATGGAGAAGATACTTGAAGTTGTTGGGGATAGAAGGCCCAAGACTAAGATTGTGTGCACGTTGGGACCGTCATCGCGTTCTGTGGAGATGTTGGAGAAGCTTCTGAGGGCCGGCATGAACGTTGCTCGCTTCAACTTCTCACATGGAACTCATGCTTACCACCAAGAAACTCTTGACAATCTCAGGATTGCCATGAACAACACTGGCATTCTCTGTGCTGTCATGTTGGACACTAAGGTAAAATTCATTATATGGTTTTGTGTATATTTACAGTCTTTTATGTTGCTCTAGCTTTCTATAAAGTAAATCCGAAAATTATGTAAATCTGTTTTCCAAATTCAATCAAGTGTCCACCTTTTAATTCCTTAAAAAAAAAATTCATAGATCTTGGTTTTTATTGTGCGTCATTAGAATTTGTTCTCAATGCTATGAACTTTATTAACCCTTCTAAAATAATTGACACTTGTGTAAGAATGAGGATTCAAAGAGGTCATCTTCATATTTGGTCCTGTGCTTAATTGATAAATTTGAGTTTGGGTAAATTTTCTACATGGTAGTACGAGAAACTGCTTGTTGATTTTTTATTTATTTAATTTTTTTTATAAAATTCTTTCTTTTGTGTTTATTATGAACAATAATTGGCTAATAATGATGCTTTCTTTTGTTACAGGGTCCAGAAATTCGAACAGGGTTGCTGAAAGATGGGCAATCCATAGATCTTAAACAGGGTCAAGAGATCACCATCACCACTGATTATACAATTCTTGGTGATGAGAACATGATCTCTATGAGCTACAAAAGGTTGGCTGAGGATGTGAAACCCCAAACTGATATCTTGTGTGCTGATGGGAAAATTACTTTAAAGGTTCTGGCTTGCGACAAGGAGCTCGGTTTGGTACATTGTCGCTGTGAGAACTCTGCAGAGTTGGGTGAGAAGAAGAATGTCAATCTCCCTGGAGTGGTTGTTGATCTGCCAACTCTAACAGAGAAGGACAAAGTTGATATCTTAGAGTGGGGAGTTCCGAATAAGATTGACATGATTGCGCTCTCTTTCGTGCGCAAAGGTTCAGACCTTGTTGAGGTCCGAAAAGTGTTGGGGGAGCATGCAAAGAATATAATGCTTATGTCCAAGGTATGTAGTTGGAAATTAGTTTTTGATCAGTAATATGATTACTACAACATGTTAATAACTTTATATTGATTATTCTTGTTCTTTTGTGTTTTGTTCTTCCAAAGGTTGAGAATCAAGAAGGGGTTGCAAATTTCGATGAAATTCTTGCAAACTCGGATGCATTTATGGTGGCAAGGGGTGACCTGGGAATGGAAATTCCAATTGAGAAGATATTCTTAGCTCAGAAGTTGATGATAGAGAAGGCCAACAGACAAGGAAAGCCGGTGGTGACTGCTACTCAGATGTTGGAGTCCATGGTCAAATCTCCACGTCCCACCCGAGCTGAAGCCACTGATGTTGCCAATGCAGTCCTTGATGGAACCGACTGCGTGATGCTCAGCGGAGAAACTGCAGCCGGGGCCTATCCTGAAATTACAGTTCAAACCATGGCCAAAATTTGTGTTTCTGCAGAGGATTCTATAAACTATGGGGAGCTCTTCAAGAGAAAGATGGATGCTGCACGAATGCCTATGACCCCATTAGAGAGCTTGGCCTCCTCAGCAGTGCAGACGGCAAATTGTACCAAGGCTGCTCTGATTTTAGTCCTGACCAGAGGAGGAAGCACAGCGAAGCTTGTGGCTAAATACAGGCCAAGCATGCCAATTTTGTCTGTGGTGGTGCCTGAGATAACAACAGACTCTTTTGAGTGGTCATGCAGTGATGCAGCTCCAGCAAGGCATAGCCTCATCTACAGGGGTGTTCTGCCTCTTCTCAGCTCTGGTTCCATAAGAGCTTCTCATGCTGAGTCCACAGAAGAGAGCATACAGTCTGCCATTCAATATGCAAAGGAAAAGTGTCTCTGCAAGCCTGGAGATTCGGTTGTGGTTCTGCACCGCGTTAACACTGACATGATCAAGATTTTGACTGTGATGTGAGGATTCTTAGGAAAATTTAGGTTGACATTTACCTTTGATTTGCAGCATCCAGTTTAGGTTTCACCTTTTGTTTTGGTGTTTAATTTTGAGGTTAGAACAAAAATAATATGATGATGTACTCATCTATTTTTGGCGGCATTGCAATTTTGAATTTTGTTCACATTTTATTCATGTCTCTCTCTCTCTCTCTGTCTCTCTCTCTCACACACACACACACACACACACACACACACACTGCTAATTTAGACAATGCCAATGATCCTTGACACTACTGACACTTCTTATAAAGGTAGAGATTAAGCTAAAGATTTTCCCTTTAAAAGTATAAACCAACCTCATTGCCATAAAATGGTGATTGACATAATGTAAAATTTATGATATATACAGATAGTGACAGTTTACTGCATAAACTAAGCCTTTGAACTTGAATAAAACTGTCCTCTTGAAATTGCTTATTGGCTATGAACTTTCATTAAGCTCCATTGTGATATGCGCTGGTTGCTGATTATTTAGAACTTGAACAAAAGGTTGGGCGATTTTAGGCCATCTCCAAGTGAGGGCTATATCCTCAAATATAGCCCAAAATGCTCAAAACCCATCTTCAAGAGTGGGCTACACAAAGGGTTACATACAAAAAACAAAGAAAAAAAAGAAAAAAAAAGAGGGCTACAAAAATAGTCAATTCTTAAAATGAGGATCACATGTGGCCCTTTGGCCAGCTTGGGCTAAATAATTGGATGGGGCCCAGTTGACGTCACCTAGCAATTAGGTGACGTCAGCTAATTTTATTTTATTATTTTTTAAATCCAAAAATATGATTTTTTGAATTCTAAAAAATTCCTACATTTTTTTATATAAATCACCTACCTCATTCTTACATAATTTCTCACATCTTCATCATTTTACATATTACCCTTCCTCAATTTCATAATTTTACATAATTTCTCATGATCTCTTCATTTTTTTTTACAAACCATCCATCATCTTTTTCCATTTAAATTAATTTTTAGGTTGGTTTTATAACAATAAAAAATCTAATCATAACTCTATAGGACTAATCACATGCCGACACATGGATGTCAAAAATCCTATCCCAAAATATTTTTCTCTTCACAAATGTATTTTAAATAGAATATAAATAGTAGTTTAATTAAATTAAGGGCTAACATCATTTCACCCCCTCGCGTTTTGAGGCGATTTTCAATATGGGCCATGGGGTTTCAATTTCATCAATTTACATCCCCCACGTTATTAAAAGTGACCAATCTACACCATCCGTTAAGTGGACCGTCTAGTCAAACGTTAATTGATGACATGGATATTGTGGGACTCACCTCTTAAGTTGAATAGCTGCGCGGCTATATCCAGTTTTTAAATTTTTTTTTAAATAGTATAGACGCGTCCCAACAAACTTTCTTCAGGATAGGTGTTTTTGTTTTGTTTTTAATTTTGAAAATATAAAATTAGTTTCTTTACTTTTGTTTTTTTGGCCCACTTCTATAATTTAATATACGTAATTAAAAGGACCCGCATAGTGCCTATGCGGCCTAATTTATTTATTTATTTGAGTATAGCCGCACGGCTATACTCTACAAAAATAATATTGTCAAAGTACAGCCGCTCGGCTATACTCTACAAATACCATAATCTGAATTTCTCTTTTTTAATTATTACTTATGTTTTAATTATTGTTTACTTAGAAGAGAGATTTCAAGAAATGGCAGATCTATTCACTTTATCAATAACTAAGTCGGATCTGGTGTACCATAAGGGATTTGCCTTTGTATTTAAGAATTTTATTAAATAAAAAAAATTTAAAAATAAATACTATTTATTAAGTAATATAATTTACGATGTTAAAATTAAAGATGAAAGGCCAACTTCTAATTAAAGTAATTAAATAAATACTACTTTAATTAGTTTTTAATTATTATTTCTTTAGTGAATATTTAAATATTTTACTGATTTGGTAAATTACTTGGTAAATAGTAATGAATTGTTTTGAATTATTTTGTGTACTTTGTTTTTTGTTCTTTGATATTAAATAATCATTAAAATACGTGTGTACGTGTATTATATGTTTACTTTCATTATACTAAGTCTTTAAGACGTATACGGAAAGCGGATATAGTATTGAGAAATACGTACGTACATGTATAATACGAGTATTCAATGGGAAAAATGCTAAATTCTTTATACGGGTATAAACTCTTGAAAAGTAAAAAATCAACACGGGCAATAGCTATACCTTGGTAATGGCCTAAATGTAATCGATAATGCTCTAGACTAGTCTTATCGACAAAGGAAAATCATGGGGAAAAAATTTTAAAAACAAAAAGGCACCCCTAAGATATTTAAAAAGTATAGCCGCGCGGCTATACTCTATAAATACCATATTCTGACTTTCTCTTTTTTAATTATTGTTTACTTAGTGAATAATTACTATTTAAGAATTTTATTAAATTCAAATTTTTTATAAACTAAATACTATTTATTAAGTGATATCATTTACGATGCTACTTAAAATATTTAATACTAATTATTCACTACTAATGTGCCCAAGTGCCCCAAGGCCCAAAGGTTATTTTTTTTCCGGAAAGGCTATAATGAGGGCTTAAAGTGAGGAGGTTATTTGAGGAGGTCAAATAACCTCCTCACTTTAACTCCTCATTGTAGAAGCTCCCATTTTTTTTGACAAAAAGATATTATGTGTATAATATTTAATGCCCAAATTGATTTTGAAGCCCAATTGGCTTCCACTTGGCCCAACTTCCATTTATTAAGTGTTGGACTTCCACACTTATAAAAATCTCACTCTTTCTTCTTTCTACCAATGTGAGACAAATGTGCTTGAATTTCATTCAAACTTCCAACATATTTAAAGCCCTTCAAGATCTCCGTGATTCATCTGTAAATGTCCTTCAAGGTCTTGCATCTATCGACCATGATATTTTTTGGCTTCTTATAGTTGATGTTTACTATTCTTTGAAGAAAAAAGGCATACCTTCACCCCCCATAAGAGCTTCTCATGCTAAGTTCACATAAGAGATCATACGGGTTTCCATTGAATTTGCGAAGTCCCTTTACTTTAAGCATTATTAATTAATGTGGTATCTATTAACGATTATTAATTATGTTGATATCGTGACTAACCGAGCAACTAACTAAGCAAAATCAGCCACGTGTCATGCTTTGAGAGGTCATCACCTTAGTCAAAGAAGCCTTATCACAAGTCACAACTCTAAGCAAGGCAAGGAGTCCCACATTTGAAGACTACAAGAGGTGGAAACTCCCCTTCACCTATAAAATAAGACTACTCTCCACTTAGAAAAGGGTCCTGATTCTTGAATCTTGACCCTTGGGCTTGGATATTGGATCTTGGACCTTAGGCCTTGGGCTTTCTTCCCTTTATCTTTGGGTCTACCCTTTGTACAAATGTAAACAAACATTATCATAATGAGAACATTCTTCTTCGTGAACGTAGCTCATCATTCGGGTGAACCACGTATACCTTGTCTTTTGCATGCTTATTTATTTTACTTATGCTGAATGTCACCTGCTAAAGACAGTCTTTTGCCTTGCCTACCGAAGGCTCATACACATGCTAAAGGCCCACGTCTTCACACATTATCCACCACTTCACATCTACCTAAGTTGAACTCCATTTTGAGCGTCAACAAATTAAGCATCCTTGGTCACTTGTATTTCAAGACCTATGGCTTTAACTAAATATTGATAGATACCAATATGTTAAAAGTTCAATGTTCAAGCCACAAGCCTAGCTATATGATTGGAATATAATTTAGTTTTGTGCTCGGGGAGCACAAGAGAAGACAAATGACTCACATCATTCATAAGGTTCATGATTGTTTGTAGAATCCCGTTTTGAAACTTTCCCATTGAGTTCATGGCTTACGAATGTTTTGTTTTATTTTATTTTGCTGTATCTGCGGATGAGGTGCAAACAGACGCTACAGGCACAAGTACTTCAACAAGTAAACATAGAGCAATTATGTCACTTGAAAATTAGGACAGTAGAGTCCCACATGCAAATACTTATAAATACTGATATCAGATCTTGTAATTATAGAGTCTGGTAACGTGGGCTTGTAACTAAGTAAGGTATTAAAATGATTGCGATATGATAGAGACTAACCTAAGTTGGACAACCCACCTACTATGAGTGGGTAGCAATTAATAATTAATCTCAGTGTTGAATAATTAATCTCAGTTTATTGTAGCCAAAAATAAAAAATAAAAAAAAATCCAGAAAGGAAAAAAAAAGAAACACGCCCTCAGTCCAGGCAATGGCTCAACTCCTCATCTCCAAATCACTTTTTTGTTTTTGTTTTTTTTTAAAATAAAAAAAATGAGCCAACTCAAAATCAAAAATAGCTTTTCTTTCTCTCATAAACCACACACCTCTTGAACCAAAGCTTTAGATGCCCAATCAACAAGGTCTACAGCAAATTGATTTGTCAACAATAGTAGATGATGCTAGTAAAGCCCTATTTGCTCACCAACCACGCTATTCTTGTGCCTTTAAAACATATGGAATTTCATCCTTTGGATAAGACCTAATTGATATTCAAGTACCTAGTTAGTTTCAACAATTCTTGTATAAGAAAATCATTTTTGGGGACAATCATCTATTTAACATTCGAAATTTGACTTATCAACTGAGAACTTAGCAACATAGTTTTGGCGGCTTTAAATTGCCATAATGCTAGAGTCCCATATCGAAAATACACTAAATGGTACGAATACTTAAAAGAATTTACATCAAGCAACAATATTACCGTGCCTTGTAGTGTGTACTTGTAATTAAACAATGTATTAAAGTGATTGAACATATGATAGGGATTGAACCACACATCCACCATGGATGAGCAGAATATTTCTCTAATTAAGAATTTGGTTCAACCCTTGATGTAACTTCCACTTTTATGCTGAAGTAGCAATCAAGTCATCACATGCAAAAATTATTGAGCAATTATTTTTTTCATTAGAAAAATTAGTAGTTTGATTTGTTGACCAGCAGTTCCTCGATCCATTAGTAACTTTTAACCTTAAATACAAGTAAATTTCAGTAATTTTTGGTTGGTGAAAATAGAAAGGAAAAAAAAAAGTAGAAAAAGGAGTTGATTATTCGCCATTTACTGGAAGAATAAGGTGTAAACTTGTGGTGGATTAAAAGAAAAAACTGACATGGAGAAAACGATCGCGATGGGACTCGAACCCACAATCTCCCGCTCCGGAGGCGAGCGCCTTATCCATTAGGCCACGCGATCTGTTGATGCTAGTTTTACAGATATATTAATTATATAATATTATTATTTTCTCTCGTATTCACATTCAGTTGCTTCTTCCAACCTTTTAAGGCTTCAACAAGAAGAGGCATGTTCATCTCTCAGAATGATTCTACAGTTGGAGTCAAGAATGGACATGCCGTAGAACATAACTTCAAGATTCAAAAAAATGGTGGCGCCGTTCACACGGAATTTTTAATTCTGGCAATAAAGTTTTGTGAGTATCTGCATAGTATAGTTCATACAAATGTGTGGAAATAAAAATGTCATGTCTGGTATGTCACAAATGGCATTGTCATTGTGAAAAGAAAATTTTGAATGTTTCACTAGCTATGTAAAACTCTGTAAACAATTACAAAGGATGGTGATGCCATTTTTATTAAATAACTCCTGTGATTTTTCAAGAGGAAGAAGTATTCTTGATCTTGTACCGGTAACAAACACGCTTCTTCTTGATCAACGATCCATTCTCAACTGTGAACACAACGTTTCCAGGTTCTTTGTTCGTAAAAGAGTTTCGGAGAGAACCCTGTTGCCCACCAATCCTCCTGTCCTTTTGAACAATAATGCCATATGATCCTTCATCAGTTGGAAAAAATTCTTCCTTGTAGTTCACTTCCCAACCCAACACAATCACTTCCCAGATTAAAGTTGTTCCTACCTGTTTAACATACAACATTAACACAGTGATATAGTCGTCATTCTAATGAATCCACAAGATTCAATTAAAAAGATCAAAAGAATATGAAGTGAAATGTAATAACCCTTTCGAGTGCACATACCTCTGGTACTGGGAGTTGAACACTTTCTGATGATGACTGATTGACAACAATCTCTGAGGCAGCATCTTCAGTAGAGAATTCAGGATCATTTTCCCGCTTAAGCCCGCCATAATGGACCGGTAGTTCCTCTGCAGCTATGAACCTGCAATGAAGAAGGTTCAAGTTTGGTTAAGAACTTTCCAGTTGACCAATTAGCCACCAATTACTGACATTGAAGGAACATTACTTGAGCAAATTGTCCGTGACCCTGGAAGGGCGAGCGAAGACAAATTTGCTATTGGTTCTTGGAGTTAAGAAAGGTAATAGGAGAGTGGTAGCACTGTAGGCATAGTACCAGAAAGGAACATTGATGAACATCTACACAGGAAAATAAAGTTTTCCATCAATTGCAGTACAAGTCATGGCATGAAAAGTTTGAAGATGCATGGAATTTAATGTGGAATCTCAAAGTGTCACGAATAAAAAGGTTATATATGGATGGAAAAACTCTTACATTTCTTGCAACAAATTCAGGATAGTTGTCCTGAAGTAGCCCAACGACCTGCTTTGTAGCAAGCCGAAGCTCCTTCTTAGAGGGGCCAGGCATGTCCTTGAGATCATTGACTAAGAGTATGGAGGACACCCCACCAGGCTTAAAGTCAAGCTTCTGAATCGCTTTCTCCATTAGTTGAACCCTCCTCCTAATAAACATTTCACGGCTCTCTTCATTCCCTAGCATCTTGTTGTATACCTCTTCATTCCCAAGCAGCTTAAAGTTGCTGTAACAAACCGGATGCCCTTCACGACTGGCACCATCCATATGCTCTATGGAACCAAGATCATCACCGAAGTCCTCATCCAAGATCAAATCGACATTGTTGTCCTTCCTCCACTGGAGTGTATTCCTCAACATGTCGAAAGCATCGTTGACTTCGAAATCCCTAGCTGTCAAGAACTTCAATAGTATGACATCAGTGGCACTATCCCCTTTACTAGGCAATAAGGGTACCCCCCAAATTGCAATATCCTCATCTATGACGTCAACCTTCCGTTCCTGATTAGTAGCCACATTGTTCTTCTCTTTTTGGCCTTCTTCAGCCTTTTTATCCTTTTCCTCATCTTCTTGTTTGGAAGGTTTATTCTCTTTACTATCTTCTTCTTTCTCTTCTTTCACTACCAACTTTTCTTCTACCAATGCTTTTGCAACTTCAATCTCTTCTACTTTCTTTGAGCTTTCCTTCTCTTTCTCAATTTCTTTCACAGAATTTTCTTCTCCCTTCCCTTCATTTGTTTTCTCCTTCTCTCCACCTTCCTTCTCTAATGTCTTTTCTTTTTCTTCAATTTCTTCTACCTTCTTGGAAGTTTCTTTCTCTTTCTCAGCTTCTTTCACACCGTTTTCTTCTCCTTTCCTCCCATTTTCTGTTATTTTCTCATTATCTCCACCTTCCTTCTCCAATATCTTTTCCTTCTCATCCCCTACTACTCGATCCTTGTTTCCCTTAAACAACTTGTTCCCGAGTATTGCGTTTTCAACCTTCGATCTCAGCTCCACCAAAGCCCTTTTCTCATGCTCTTTCAAGTCAGAGAGGAAGTTGTTTTTTTCCCTGAATGATGAATTTTTCTCAATTATAGTAGATTCTGAAGAAGCATCCCCTCTTTCAACCTGATCATTGTTCTTCTTCTCTTCCAAAACTGCCTCCTCCGGTTCACCTTCTTTTCTCTTATCCTCCGCCATAACATCCCTTGTGTCAGCATCAGTCTCCTTCTTCTCCTCCACCGACATCTTTCCAATTACACCCTCATCTTTTTCAGGTTCACCAGCTTCCCCTGCATTTTTCCCACCCTTTGTTTCAATACCCCTGTCTTGGACATCATTGGATGGATTTTTCTCTTGTTCATCAGAATGAGGAACTACTTTTTCCATGGCTGAACTTTTCTCAACTTTAGCTGATTCGGAGATACCGCCTTTTTCAACCTCGTTATTCTTTTTCTCTATTTCAGCTTCTTTTTTCTTATCCTCCACCACAATCACCTTTGTTTCACCTTCATTCTTCTTCTCCTCCTCCTCCAAAATTACCTCTTCAAACACAGCCTCATTCTTTTTAGGTTCACCAATTTCTGCTTCATTTTTCACCTCCTTTGCTTCACTACCTTTGTCTTGGATATCCTTGGATGGTTTTTTCTCTTCTGACTTCTCTCCTGTTGCCATGGTTGAAGTTAACCAGATAGAATTTACAGCTTTCGGTTTGAGATTTTCATGTAGAATTCAAAAGATGAAAATAAAATATAACCGAGAAAGCATTAATCTAGAGAAGATGAACCAAGACCTTACACTCATACCCTGTTTTTCTCCCCTGTTTTCTCTGCTTCTATATTTGGTGGTAAGTGAAACGGTTCCAAACGAGGGTTTGAAATTTCTTGGGGCAAAAGTAACGTTGTTAGATTAACCTTAGACAAAGCCAAGCTTGAAAAAAAATATGATATCATACAGAAAATTTCATAATCAAAGTTAGTGTTGCCCCTTCCTCATAATTTAAGATCATAAATCCATTTATAATTACGTTTACATTTTGGCCTCCAAATCCAAAAATTCTAACTCTGCCTATTCGTATAGTGACATTTTATAGTTAGTAAAAAAATTCATTTGTTTGGTTTGAATTTTTATACTGAGGAACAGTTGTGGCTTATTACAAATAAAGATGACGTATTGTAAGATAACAAATTCTTCTAGGAAAACAAAGGGGGAAAAGCCTCTACTTCTATAAAGATTCACAAAATATGATATTAATTAATCAATTAATCTAAAAAACGAAAAGAGATTGACAAGTTTGTCGTACCAAATATATGTCATTGCTCGTGCTCGCTCATTATTCATTAATCATTTTTTCAGGTTTTGACTCAAGGGTATATATATATACATGTTTTCTAAGTAATGTTAGAGAGACCATATATTTTTAGACCACAGTAACCAACCAACCATGTGATATGTAAGGGTTGATGTCTTGATTAAATTTTGGTCATAATTTACAAATCAATTGCTAACAATATGTAATCGGCTAATAAGGTCTAAAAATGTGATTTTTCATATGTTTCCTTGCATGCATAAATTACTTAAACAAGTAAAAGATATAGGAAAAATAGAAATGTAAAATCTAGGAGTTTAATTCAGAGGGGGCATGCAGACTTGCAGCCACACCAAGCTGGCCATATGTATTGCGGTTTTTAGTTACAGTTACAGATAAGCTAAAAACCCTAGAGATTTTCCCGCGGGTTGTTATGTGGTAACCGTTCCAAGCCTCAACTCCCCCATTTTTCTCAACCCACAAACCCTCTCTCTCTCTCTCTCCCGCAAGCCATGCAGTCAGGATTAGGTCGGTTATTGTAAGTGTTGCAGTTAATTAATTATTGTTAATCAATTTAATTTCAGGTCTTATTTAGGTCTGCTTCTGTCTTCTCTTGTACAGCATCTTATCAGGTACTCTCTCTCTCTCTCTCTCTCTCACACACACACACATTTCTAGCTAGTTTACTTTAAATCTTTTCAAGAATCTAGCCTACTTTGCCGTAGCTTGTACATGAACTTTAACACATCTTTTTTCTGCATGCATGTCTATTTTATTTTGTGCTAGCTACTGTTCATTCTCTATAATCTTTGTTTTCTTACAATTTCTATTATTTTCAGGTTTTAATTAAGCACACACATTCCATGGCCTTGAGTTCATTTTCGAGCCGGGAAACGGTTCCACCTCAGTCTTTTGGCTCAGAGATGACCAACTGTTTCCAGCCAAATATAGAAGCAGAGCTATTAGCAGCAGAAGAGCTCCTCAAATATTACCAACTAGACTACAATTGTTCCATCCTTCCCAACAACTTATTTCTTGATGATCATCCATGCCATGACCCCTACAATCTTCTCAACCTCGAAAACTATCATCCTGACACTACCAGTGACGATCATCTTCTTCTTCCACATCTCACTACCCCTGACATGCTTCCGCAACTTGATTTCTATCCTTACCCGTACCCGAAACGCCAAAAATGCTTCCAAGATTTCGTTAAACCGGAGTTCACACCCGCAACTTTCTATGATGCGTTTGCTCCAGATTCTTGTCCCGTGCCCGAGTTGTTTCCGGCACCTGGGGTCTTTGCTACTCCATTGCTCACATTTAATCAGCATCCGGAGGAGACAGTCACTGATAGCAACAAGTCAAAAGTTAATGACTATGAAATTGGTTTTGCTGCTAAGAAGAAAGTGGAAGAAAAATGCGTGACTGCGCAGAGTATTGCGGCTAGAGAAAGGAGGAGGAAGATCACAGAGAAGACTCAAGAGCTAGGGAAGCTTGTTCCTGGAGGAAGCAAGATGAACACAGCTGAGATGCTCACTGCTGCTTACAACTTTGTCAAGTACTTGCAGGCTCAAGTTGGCATTCTTGAATTCATGGGGTCATTTGAGGTATTTTGCTCAGTTTCCCTCTAAATTTTACTTCCACCATAAAAAAGAAAAAGAAAAAAGAGTCAATGGTTTTTTCTGTCTAAATTCTCTTTGTTTTTACTTTTTCTCATTCTATTTTGGTAGGGTTTTTATGCCAATTCTCTTTTGTTATACACGCAGGAATTGAAGGGAGCTCCTCCTGCTGAAGAGCTGCGAGCAGTTGCATTTCCTATTATTCAAGAGAAGCTATATTTAGAGAACAATTGCTTGGTTCCGGAGAAGTTTGTGGAGATATTAGCAAAACACTTTGATGCTCAATCAAAACCTTCGCTCTCCAACAATCTCCACCAGCTACTCACATCCAGTGGTTGACAAGATTTTATTTTCATGTAAATATAATTTTTCTCTTCAGGATCGCATTTTTTTTGTTTTCACTTCGGTGCTCTTGTGTGTATGATTCTTTTCATTTGATTTGAAAATGCAGCGGTTTAGTTTCTTTTCTATAACATCCTCGTAAAACATTTATTAAAAAAACACATTATGTTTATCAGCAAAGTGTGTCAACTTATTCCCTGCTTAATTTATTTTAGCATGGATCAATAATAAAACACAGAAAGCCTTAAACCTCTTCCAATCTGCTTCTTTGATTCATGTGCCACATCAGATCCTCAACAGGATTCAAACAGGGGAGGGGCGTAGAGGTTGAGATTTTTAACAACGAAAACACAGGTTGGTATTCAATAACATGACTTATAACAAGATTTTTAAAACTTTGATACAACCTCTTTTGTCATAATATGAGTAAACAACTAGGCAAACCCGAGGTTGCTCATGGTGCCAACAAGCTTCCAGCAATACCACTGGATTTAAACACTTTACGAAGAAGTGTCGATGGGTGTGTCGGAGTGTGCTCCCCATTCAGTCCAAGATCCATCATAGACTGCTACTTCAGGCTTACCAAGTCGATGAAGACCCTGGATGAAACCACATGAATACGTATGAACAAAAGAGTTCCGAATTTTTTTAAAACAAAAATTCATGAATACAGGCTCAGCATTATAGCAGCATGGATGCTACAGCCATATGCAACCAATCTGCATCTCTCTAGCTTTATTGTGTCTAAGAAAATCAGAAATGTGTAGCACCAAACCCACAAAATCACAAAGCCTATCCTTTCATTCAAAGGACTAGTATAAGGGATTAATCTTGATCCAAGATTAAAACATTCACATAGTCATGATTTTAAACACTCATTTTTTACTGTTTTTTATCCTCAGATCTTACATCAGACAATTTACAATTATGTCCTTTTCATCTTACTAACATATAAATACTCACACACCCGCATATATATGTCTTTGTGTGTACTTTTGGAGAGAGATAATTACCAGTGCAAGAATGCAAGCAGTTACACCAGTTCCACATGAAGTAACAATAGGGCTTTCCAAAGAGATGCCTGCAGCTTGAGGTTAGGATCATTAATAACTAATGTTATTCAGATACCTTGTGACCAATTACAATGTGCTACTACAGAAATATAATCCCACAATTTCTGAAGAAAAAAAAACAGTACATATGTAAGAGGCGGGCGGGGGGAAGGAAACCATGACTTTTGTTGATCATTATATTATGTCTTAGTGTAAAAATAGGTTCTAGAAAGGGAGTCGGGAAGTACTTACTATCTATTTGTTTTCTTATTACATTTATCCAAAACCTCATTGTAAACAGCAAAAATGGATTAATCCTATAACAAGAATGATCAGGTAACAATGGCTTATAGAACTGAGTAGAAATGTACTAAAGTTTTTGAGATTTTTAATGGGAAATCATAATAAAAACAAAAAATAATTCTTACCTGCTTCATCAAATCTGTTTTTCAACTTATCTGCTGGTAAGAGTGTCTCTGAAGAATCCAACAACTGTAAAGAAACAAACACATTTGTTAATCAACAGTTATGCAGCATAGCTCTTTAACAGAAATCAACACAATTTTATTGCAATTTCAAAAAAATTAAGAAACAGATTATTAGGGAAAGGGGCGTGGAAATTGCTGACATTGCAAAGAAAGTTTTGATGCAACAGAATTGAGACATTTAGGCTAGCTTCCGATTTTAAACAATGTAGAATGGTTAATCATATAATTCACTCAAATTTTAAAACAATCAGACTACGATCATGCTCATAACCAGACTCCAAAAATATTATAGTTTAACAGTTGGTATAGATCGCCTGCATCAAGCTCTGAAAATGTCAAAATGACTAAGTACACAATTTTTTGTTCATTATTTCAGATAGCTAACCGTCAATTACAAATACATATATTCAGAAAACCCTTTTAGTTTCTGAATTACTGAAAATGTTTATAAATGAATGTTAACTCAGATCTGAGGAATGAGACGATTATAGTTAAAACTAAAAACATACAAAAAATCCTCCACCATCCATTATGTATTCGCCTCAAGTTCTTCAGACACTCATTGATTGAATCATTACAAATCCTAGGGATGCATCATTAAGTCACCACTATAAGAGGTCAAACACAAGCATTTGATTTATTACCTGAGGAAAAGGGATACACTTGCTTCCAGGTACATGACCACTTCTAATCCCTTTCCGGGGCTCCAATGCAGTTCCATCAAACCTGCAAGACATCAAATCCAAGATTGCTAATGTAAAACCAAACTTTATGGATATCAAGCCAGATAAGATAATAAACCTTCAAAGCCCACACAATAATTACTAAAAAAATACCCACATCAAAATAGAAATCAATCCAAAATGTATCCATATAACTGCATAATTTACTTTGCATAAGGGAGAGAAACAGAGAAAAAGTAAGGGTGCTCAACCTACTGTTATATTATTTCAATCAAGATTAGGAATTCCAACCAATTCTTACATGATGCATGAACAAGTTCCAGCTGGTGATTCACACAAGTATGGGGAAAATAGCAGACCAAGATTTACTCAAGCTTCACATAATTATCCAGGTAACAAAACTTATATGCTGAAGACTGGCTAAAAATGTCAAACTTGAGCACATGAAGCACATGCAATTGCTGTATAAAGAATACCTGGCCTTTGATCGGGCATCTATATGTTCATGAGTTCTTTCTTCAACATTTTTTCTAACCTGAAAAATACAGTAGGAAATATAAAACCAGGATGAATTGGAAACAGATTTTGTATTTTCTTTAAAGCATAGCAAAACAAACACACTTATTTACAGTGCTTGCTTGCAATTGTTGACTCTCACATCAATCACTTGGTTACATTTACACCTTTATGTCCTTCAAGGTCTGGAAAGCAAAAGACAGGGGAGGGGCTTCTAGGAGCCCAGCCATTGGAACGAAGGAAAACCAAAAATGTGGAAAAGCAAGTCTACAACTTTTTAATTGTTTTGGGCAATTGGTACGGATGTCCAAACATCCAAAAACCACCATCCTGCTCTTTCCTTTTTTTGGTGCTACCTTTTTCTTTACAAGGATTTCAGGGTGACGTACTTGCCACCAATTTCCGGGATTAATTTGAGACACACCTTTAGTAGTTAGTCAAGATAAAAAAACCAAACCTGATCAATAGTCCAGACAAGATGTGGCTGAAACTTAGTCTGAAATGTAGTTGGCCCAACCTGCAGAATGTTGCATTTCCCGAAATGATCACAACAAGACTTGAAAAGTATCACAGGTTAAATAATAAAAACTGGAACATGAGATAAAGTCAATTTAATGGACATCGCAACTGCAAGGACTGACACCCCACCACCCAAAAAAAGAAAAAAGGAAAAATAAAGTTCTGAACTCTAGGCCAACCTTCAACAGCTCAACCCCCTCATCATTGTCATCAAACTCCCAAATTTCTTTACTTCTGTCACTAGCAAACAATAACAATTTTACTACTACAAATTTTCTAGATGTCAAGAGCCAGTTATTGATCCCAAAAGCTACAATGTGCACACTAACATCACAAAACAAAATGACAAAGGACTACAAAAAATTGCAAGCATTTCTTCCACTTTGATCCATGCTCCAATAAAATATGTCCACTTAAGTATAGAGAAAATAGACAACAAACAGAAACTAAAGAACCGACGGAGTGAGAAGAAGAGAACCTAAGAGTTTAGAAATTTATCTTGTCAAGAAAAGTGCACATTGGTTTAAAGCCTCCTTCCTATATCCTTTTACAACGATTAATACAAAACAAATCCATTCCAAACCACATCAAATAACAAAAAAAAAAAAAAAAAAAAAAAAAAAAAAAAAAAAAAAAAAAAAAAAAAAAAAGAACCACACCATATGTTAATTGCTTTTGGATCAGAGAGTCCAAAAATGCCTGTGTCAAAAAATACTGATGTCAGAGACTCAGTATAAAAATCGTGAACTTACTGCTTGTCCCTTGTATACTTTCTCTATTGCCTCACTGGCAGCACTAGCTTTTAAAATTGCATCACCAGACGCGCTAGATTCAACATCATATCCAGATGCACGCCATCTTGGTAGGCCTCCATCTAAAACCCAGACTCTGTCATGGCCAAATACTCGGAACATCCTTTACATATTATAAGGAAATGAAGCATTAGTTCATGCTACATAAATAAAAGCGTAAAACACATTTTTTTAATACAGTTCACATGAGTTAAAACTTAAAGGGGCATCTGGTAACATTTTACAAAACAATTTTCAAAAAACTGTTGATGAAAATGAGAAACTGAACTGTGCAATTTGAAAATTCAAGAATGTCTCTGGTAGATAATATGCTACTTATATAAATTTTTCTCCTTGTGATGCTGATTTCTCATCAATTCCTTTCAATGATAAGAGGAACAGTGATTGAAGAAATGAAAAAGGAATTTGATGCAGGATGCGTGGGACCTAAATTTATTAGTTTCCTAATGTATTTGTTAGTTTACTTTTTTATTTGGGTTAGGATTTCTGTTTAAGCAGGGGATTTTTATCCTATTATGTCTAGGTTTTGGTTTGCTATAAATACCGCCACGTAATGCAGATTTGAATGTTGAGTAAACCTTTTCCTAGAACTTTCTGATCCCTTCAATCTATATTTCTTCTCCTCAATCTCCGATATTCTTCTTTGTACTACTGTTTCTGCCCTTTTATCTCATCTTATTGATCTATATTTCTTCTCCTCGGTCTCTTATATTCTTCTCTGTTCTATTGTTTAAGTGCTTAATCTAACATCTACGGGCTGTACTACATCAGAATTAGAGAGAAGGCTGGACAAGATAAGTGGGTGTCAATAAGAGCCACAACAGGGGAGAGAGAGCGAGTAGCTGAGGGTATTGGACAAAAGAGTGAAAACATCATGGGAACATTTTTAAAACTAAAGCTGAATTTCAGAATTGTATCCTGTGTTTCTTAAAAAATAAAAAATAAAAAATAAGATTATGGTGCCAAACTTGTTTTCCATACATTTTTGGTTTTCCAAAACGAAAACTGTTTTGTTAAACAATACCAAATGCGCCCTAAATCTTTCACATTCGCCCCATAACTTACCACCATACACGAGCTGCACTAAAGATCCCTTTCCCATCATACACCACTAGATCATTTTTGTTCTCAATGCCAAGAGCAGAAACAGCAGCAGCAAAGGCTTCCTCTGATGGTAACATATGCGGTAACTGTTACAAGTCATCATTTCTAAATCATAAATAAAGGCAAACAACAGGAGACTGCTAGATAGTTACAAAAGTGATGTTTATGCCTGGCAATGATGGCACACACAACTAAAAACCTACAACATCAATATGAGACTAATATTAACATCTTTAATCAATCCAAATCTTTTTAGAAATTGGCCATGTAAATAAGAATGTATTTCAAAGTCAACTCATATAATAGCATGAAATAAATTATTTATTGCAGACTAGTGTTTAGTATATATTATTATAGAATATAAGAAATCTAAGATGTCATTTAGAGAAGGGCGACAAGACAAATAAAGAGAAAGCATCTCACTTTTGTAGTGCGATCAGATATTCCATCTACATCAAAGAAAAGTGCACCGGGAATGTGAGCAACCTGTCATGATGGAGAGGATAAATTGACAAAACTGTACCAGAGGAAGCTGAAACACCATGAAATAACATGAAATATTTTGGAATAGGATTGGAGTTGAGGAGTATTTTTGAGAAATAAAGTAGCAGCAATTGTCCACAATAAAAAACAATTAGAGCATAAAGTATGACTTCTGCAAACAGAAAGCGCAGTGAACACCTGATACTCTTGAATTGGATTCCTTTGCTCATCAGGCATGTACCAAGAGGCATCCAACACCTGAAGTAGATAACTAAATAAATATTACCAACATGTAGGACCAAAAGGATGCATATAATAAAGAAGAGAAAAAAGAAATGTCTCCGAGTAAAAAAGACAATTCTATATAATAAGAACAAAACAAACATTGAATATAGCTAGTACATACATAGAGAAAGACAGAAAAAGTATTGATGATGAGGATGACAACACATATCATTTTTTAGATGGCAACAGATTTAATGATCAGATCAAAAAACAAATTCCATACCATGAAGGTGAAAGAATACTGAGCACCAAGCATTAAATGGTAAGAATTTCAACTTATTTCCAGACATACACTCCAGTGGAAGAAAAGAGGGGGTGAAAGGAAAATTTACAGTACAAACAAGCCAACACAAGGTACCTTCAGATCAGGTTCCTTAAGGTTAGCATGGAGCCAATCAACGGAAACAACAGGCTCATTTGTAGACACAGATTGTGTTGTAAACTCTGCTCTTGCCCCAGCTACTGACGAAGCCATTGCACGAGGAACCCAACCAGATGCTTTATATTTTGTATAGGCAGGGTCGGCTCGTAAGTGTGCTATTCCCCTCTGAATTGACAGAAAAGACATTACGTAGATCTTAGCATGAGAAACAAGATAAGATTCAATAAGTAGCTCAAACTGACTAGTGCGTTTTAAAATGAATAAATGAACCTAATTATCAAGTTAACAACTTCACCAAATAGACTACGATATGCAAAACCATAATGATATTATCAGTGAGGAACCCTATTATGCAGTAATCTTTGCACCCTAGGAAGACAATAATTTCACTGCAAACACTTAGTCCAGAAAAAATATCTTTAAGGAAGCCCTTTCCTAAAAAAATACAGAATTTTCAAAGGTCTGATCGAAGTTATCTTGTAAGTAAGACAAAGACGGGTACATCAACCAATATTTAAGAACTCTATATGATTTTCAATTAAACACACAGCTAATAACTCACCACAAGAACTATACATTTACATAATTTTGATTAAGATACAAGACCAATAGTTTAAATCATAACGACAATCAAAACAGGAATCTAGAAAATAAACAATCCGACTCCAACAAATTTTCTCTATTTTTTATTTCATGGCTACTGGAGTCCGACAGAGCTGCGACACTCTTACTGACGCCTTTAGAGTCAGGAACTGAGACCATGTACATAATAATTACACTAAACAACTTCACAATAGTAAATTAAAATATTACCACAAATCACTGATTGATCAAACAAGAAATCCCTTCTCGGGAAAACACTACAAAACGCTCCAAACCAAATTTTTCCTACTCAATTCACTGATAAAACAAAAACCCATCAAGAATCTGATATATGGAGCAAGAAAAATGAAAGACTAAAATCAAACCCAATAAACCAAGTAAAAGATAACAAATTTACACAAATGGATTCAGAATATCATCCAAAAGAACAAAGCCCACAAACCGAATGGGAGATTGCTGAGAAATAACGCAGAGAGATTTACACTGAACAGAGAAGAGAAAATTTGGGGCTTTTGACAGAGTGAGTGTGAAGCAGAGTGGAAAAGGCGATGATGACCCAAGACAGTCCTTGTGAAAAGAGATGAAGCCATTCAATCAAAGACCATAGAAATAGAAGGCTTGGCTTTTAAGAGGTAATTCAGGTGGCAGTGAAAGAAGCCAAAGGGTCTGCCTTTGTTTGCTGTGTCGAGCAGTCTGGTATCTCTCTATCTACAACTATAGCTGATGGTGACAGGATTTTACTTTATACCTCTTTAAAACAGTCACTACCTCGGAAAATTATAGGGGCTGTTTGGATGATAAAAATCACATGCAACCTTTTTTTTTGGAGAGTAATATACCACGAGATGTCCCACACCCAAAGGATGTGATTTAGGGATCGTTTGGAAGTGCTTTTGGAGCAGTGAAAAGCGCTTCTGTCTTTTAAAAATGGTGTTTGGCAAAAATTTCAAAAGCGCTTTGGACGAGATCCAAAAGCACTTGGAGTGGTTTTGGAAAAAGGACTTGAGAGGTGCTTCTCCCTTTAATGAAACTTTTAAAATACCGAAAATACCCATATTTAATATTTTTTAAATATCAAAATACCCTTTCTTTCTTTTCTTTTTTTCTCTCGTTTTTTTTCTCTTAATGATGACCAAAGCAAAGTCATTTCCTTTCTTCCTATTATATTTCAATTAAATTTATTATTAATCTCTGGTGAATGGTCCTTGAACCACGACCGCTTTGGTTTTCTTCTAATGTCCATGGTTGTCACTGTTGTTTTGTCATCAATGATTATGAGTATGATATGGTTGGTCTGTGAAGGATGTTTTAGCACTTGTGAAACAACAACCCGTGTTTTGTGTTCTCTTTTTTGTCTATTAATCTATTCTGTGTTTCACTATACAAATTTCAAAACTTCAAATCTCTGGGGCAGACTGCTAGGACATACTTATGTTGTATGTGAATGGTACTGGGGCATTGCATATGTTTTTTGGCTTTGTTTAGGAGTATGTTAGGTTGTTTGACTTGATATTCTCTCAATGAAGATGAAGATCACCTCTTCTCGATGTGACATATGTAGTGTAAAATCACTTTTAAATGTGACATCCAGATGAAAAACTACTTCTTATGACATAAGCGCTTCTAGTATAAGCGATATTGGCATAAGCGCTTCAGAAAGAAGCACTCCTAAACAAGCTCTTAATTTCCACTCACAGTTCGGCTCGTCCCTGATCATAAAGTGCTTCTAACAGGTTGTAAACTACTTCCATTAAGGCACTAGGTAGCTTGTCAGCTTGAGGTGACAGTTTGTCAACCACACCACACCTTGTGGTTTACTTTTGATTCTTAATATTTGATTTTTTTAAGTTTTATAATTTGGTTAGTAAAAAAGTGCTAAACGAAGAAATATAGACATAAACCACATGACAATAGATTATAAGATCTGAAAAAATTACTATAAATTGTATGGAATATTTATAACTTGTGAACTCACAAGCGAATTCCCTTTTTCCACTTTTTTTTTATTTGTTTAAAAAAAAAGCTATAACTATAGTATCTTCTTTTTGAAAAATACTAGGGATACCACATTTATAGACGACATTGTACCTCACCTCTTTAATAGAGGTGAAAGCCATTGTATTGGAGCCATTATATTGGTGGATTCCACCTCCATTAAACATGCATTACACAATGCTGTCTTTAAATACGATCTCTGTAATATGACTCCTTTTTTATTGAGCACTTTTGGGAGCTTTAATCTCCTCATCACCATTGATCGGCAAAATTCAAGCTTTATCAGGGTTACCAGTTGTTTAGAACAAGATTCAATAATTCAAGCTTTGTTTCCAACACCAACAAAACATTAATATTGGATTTTAATTAATGTCAAACATTATATCCAACTTTAGATCAACAAATATTTTCCTTGTTTAATCCAAGACAAATAAAGTGGAAAAATACAACAATCTTTAAATCAAATTTCAGAAAGAAAGAAAAAAGAAACAATTGAGGAACTAAAAATGAAGTTTCGATCGGGCCACAAGCTAAAGCTTGTGAAGGTTCTTGTCGTCATCGCCGGCTAGCTTGTCCCCTTATTATATTTCCAATATCCATTCACATAATGGTACACAGAGTTATCAAATTTGCAACTGTAATTGCGGCTTCTAATGCTTGAAATGTTTGCCGCAATCTGTTCTGCAAAACATAATCAAACAACAACCAATTCAATTGATCATGTAAACATAAGTTTGTTATCATGCAACACTTTTTTTTTTTCTATAAATACATAAATGGATCACCCAAAAGAGAAGAAAAACTGAAAAGATATATACCCTAGCAGGTGTAGCTGGAGGGTAGAAAATTTGTCGTGCTGGAGTGATTACCTGCATCAATGATTGTTTTCATTAACAAAATTGTATCCAAAAGAAAATCTTTAACTACAATTGATGAAAAAGAGAAAAAGTTTAGGTCAATGCATGCATATAAATACAGAAATAATTTTTAGTTACCAAATTCAGGTTTGGAAGACCAGCTTGTCTAAGTTGCGTTCTCTTTGATCTCAGCAGCATATGGTTATCCAAGAAGCAGGTGTGGTTGTGGCGGAACCGCCTGCTGGAGTAGCAACAGGAGCATAGATCATAAGTGTTGGCGGCTCTGTCGAAGCACTCAACACATGTAAAATACAACCCTTTTAGACACACCCCACAACCATCGCACCACAAGTTCCTGGTCTTAATGATGTAGTAAAATGTAAGCACTTCTTCGAAATCCAGACCGCCATCACGGTTTCGATCCAGATTGTTGAAGAAGCTAGGGTTAATCCAACCGTAGCCGTTCTGCCGAAGAAATGTAATGAACTCAGACTTGCTTACTCGACCATCGCCATTTCTGTCCATGGATCGGAAGAAGTTGGCTGCCAGCAGCTGAAGATTTTGTGACCCATTGTTGTAATATGCTAAAGCTGCCTGGTGTAGTTCCTCCATGATCAAGAAATCACAGGGCCCTTGAAGCAATAGCTAGGTTGGCTTATGGGTTTTATAGGATGCCATTATTGTTAGTGGCATTTTCTTATTCATGTGTGTTTTAATTTATGCATGCAACAATGTCCTATGTACAAGGGCTTATAGCTTGCACATTGACCTAGCTACAAAGCATGAATCTACAAGTGCTGCATTGATTGATTTGGCAATGTTAAATAATTTTTTTCTCCTCTGACTATTTTTTGTTTTCCGGTGATTCTAATTGTTTTAGAAGTCAACTTTTTCTTGGCCAGCTTTAGACGTGAGCTTTGAAACTAAATAATGTGTACAGGATGGAATATTAAGTCCACTTGCTTACATTCCCTCCAACCAGTGGAACCCAACATGGATATCCATCCAATGAAAATGCTTGAAACTTATTTGACCAACCTAGTGGAATTAATTCATCCCCGACCAACCTAATTGAAATTCTAATTTTATATTTGGGGAGGGGGGTTTTCTCACACACACTATTAAAGTATCATGGAGTACGAACTTAAAATCACTGGTATGCAAGTCAAGACCCTTTCCACTGGAAATTGGGCTAGACCTGTTGGTCTAATTGAAATTCTCTCAAAAAAAAAAAAAAAAAAAAAAAAAAAAAAAAAAAAAAAAAATTATTGACAAGCTTTCAAAAAATAGTGGGAATTTCTAATTTTAAAAATATTATCACGTCTAAACAATCCCAACAAAACAAAAGGCTCTCCACTGCCACAATAAAAATTAAAAAAACTATTTTCTGTCAGGAAAACATAAAACTTATATGCGACCAAACCAAGTAGGATCTCTCAAATAATTTCTTAATTGTAGTTTAAGGAATATGTAGAAGAGAACTTCAAGCAAGTGGTACCGTAATTAGCTGTGGCACCCACTGCTTGGCGCCACATACACCATCATAAACACATATAATTAAATACTCAATTAATTACCAGCCCGCAAAAAAAAAAAAAACAAAAAAAAAAAAAAAAAAAAATACAAACATAGTTCAGTAGGAACAAATTTACTCATTACATTACAGTATAAATCAGCAAGAACTAAGTTTATGAGTTCCAGTATCAATCAGCAAGCACTGAATCAGAAACAAGTACCAAACTTGTTGAGTTGAGAAAGAAGAGAGGGAACCTTGTTTATAGTCCCATGATTCATCTTAATCAAGACCCTCAAGACTAGAAGTATGATGTCCAAGGAACTATGAATCTGAATTTCCTGCAATTTCATACAAATATCTAAACAAACTAAAATAGAAAAAGCACTTTGCTTTAAGAAAAACTGCTCGTCGCAATGTGGGAATATGAGACTCATTTCATAAAACTACGCCAATAAAGGTCCCTCAAATGCCAGAAATTACTTCTACAAGGATGCATTAAGATAAGCATTCCAGATGATTTATGTGCCTACTGAATTTTTGAGTGCGACATGAGCTCTCCATCAGATCCAACGGGAAGTCAGGAAAACAAAAAAAAGAAACTCACATAGGGAACAAATCATATACATTAGAATTAAAAAGAAAGTCGAATGCCTGGAATTAGGGTTGGTGTCCAACCGATGATACGGTGGTACCAACTGATATTTATGAAAACGTGATTGGTGCTCAAACTACATCATCTAAGACTCAATGATTCTTTTACTATGAACAATTTTTTTCTACTATTTGCTCCCTACTGCACATACAAGGGTTTCATTGGGTCGCTCAAGAAAAATTCTGCATCAAACAATGTAGGGCCAACAATTATGGCCCTAAACAATCCAAAAGATTGATAGTCTATAAAAAGGGAATTTCTAACAAATCAAAGGACATGTAACTTGAACACTAATGTAATTAGCTTATTGAGCAAATATGAGTCAGAGAGAGACCATGAATCATAAAAAATTAATTTAACCCCAAACAATATAAAGGATTACAGAGAATGACAATGCCACTATAAGCAGAATGCTCCATAATGTAACATAATGATATCGACAGGTAAACTGAGACATCTTGCAGGTACAAAAGATAAAAACCTGATAGCAAAAGATATTTAGAAAGGAAATCCTTGCTGGAAGTTCTTCTTGGAGTAGTCTTCTGCCAATCGCTTCACACCCTTTGCATTTATATAAAATTCCATCAATTCATCAGCAACATCCTTTGGGTGACAATTAACAAATGCCTTCAGAAACCTCTTCTCTGTCATCCTCAGTGCCGTCAGCATCATAGGGCCTTTAATCTGCAAGTCAAGACCCATTTCCTGCATCTTCTCTGCAAGAAATACTCGTGGCTTTAAAACAGCCTCCAGATTTGTGTACAGAAAAAAGGGATACTCAAGAATCACTGGGGCGGGAAGTTTCATTTTTCCTATAATGAAAGTCATGTTCCTCTGAACCTTATCAATTGACAGTGTAAGCACAAGGGGAGACCTTGCCCAAAGACCAAAAATCTCATCTTCTGACAAACCAAACTTCTCCAAATTTGCAACTTTCTGACGGATAGTTTCAAGGCGTGAAATGCCAATGATTGCGACAACATACTTATACATGGTTGAATGATTCGAAAGCCTGGTTTTTCGTATATATTCCATCTTTTCATCATTAAATGAAGTTCTTGGGATCAACGTGGGCCGTGATAGAAGAATTTGGGTCAAGTCACTCGTGCTAAGACCCATTCCTTCGTATAGTGCGATGGCAGGCTTGATTTTATCGTGAAAGTCATAGGTCAAGAGAGATGGGTTCTTTACAATGGCTTTGACAAGAACTTCCCTCGACTCAAACAATCTCATAAAGTACTCAAGCCGCTCATCAAAACAATGATTAATTCGATAACTGAGAAACCGGGGCCGACAATTGATGATCTTCACAAGCTCAGATGCACTAATGCCCAAGCCACGTAGAATGTTTAGTTTGAACTGAAGCTGATCAAGGTCAGCATTCCGCAAAGCAGGCCGCCGTGTGAACATCTTGGATATGTCAGTATCACTACAACCCCAGTTCTTAAGAATTTCTTCAGAGCTCTTGGGTTGGTCTCTAACATATTCTCCTACACTTTCTTCCTGGGCTTGGCAAATGGTCGAATAGGTGGCGGGCGGGAAAAGTAGAGAAGTTGTTGGGAACAGAGTTTTGGGAAAAGATAAAGAATTTCGAGAGGCTGTCAATAAATTTCGGAGCTTAACTAAAGAACCAACTCTAGATTGCATGTCAACAGACTCAAGTTATTGGCTGCACATCCTTTGGGAAAATTGGAATGCAGCTAAAGAATCAGCATAGAAGTACGCAGTAAAATTTATTCAAAAATTTGAAGCTCAAATCTTTTTATATTAAGCGCTCCTATTAATCTTGGACTGATACACAGTCACAAAGAAGCAGCAAAAATGGTTTTCTTAAATCTTTACCACAAATTTAGTTCTTGATATTGATCATCTCGTCAGAGTCCTGGGCAAAGTTTTAAGCTTTCCATCTAATCCACAAAAAGAAAATATTTATAAGCAGATAGATACTCGAAGTGAATTTCCATAGAGAGAGAGGAGAGAGAGAGGAGAGAGAGAAGGGGATACCTGGGCAGCCCATGGATAGCCTTTGAAGGGTTTAGCAGCAACGGACAGACGGCATCGAGGTTTTAGGCACAAGGCACTTATGACGGGCGGCTAGAGACAATGCAGTGATTTGGATTGAGTGGCGCTTTTCGGCCATTCTGTTTACACCCAAAATTTTGCTTATCACACAAAGTCTTTTAATTCCTATTTTATCCTTATTGTCTGATTTTTTTAGAAACAATTTTTATTTTATTTTATTAACATGGAGCTGGTCCGGTGATTCTCTTCTCTATCCCCGTCATAAATTCAAATCCTCTCTCATCCCCTCCCTTCCTAATAAAAGCCTTGCTATCATGTGTATATGCAATTTGGTGTGTAAATGCAATCATGTGATAAGAGAGATAAACACATGATAATTGTATGCCTCATTTAAATTTTCTTCTCTCGTACCCAAAAATGTTGAAAGATGTTGATGGATGGGGGTTTGTAGTTTCAAAGTTAGGGGCATATGTCTCCACACCTAAATCCGGAGTAGGAATGTCCCTTATTATCCTTTGAGTTTGTTAAAAGAAAAGAAATGTATTGAGAATGAAGAACTTCTTGTCAATATTGGATAATTGTGGCAATTCCTACAGTTTTTGAGAGGATTGGAGACGCATTCATTTTATGGTCACCTATGTGTGACAAGATGAAGCCACCTTTTACCAAGGTGGGTGCGATGGAGAAAATCTTAGGAGCAACCGGTTGTATATAATCATGTGTCTATTTATCTTGTCACGTAACTAGAGATTGTGCAATGAACCGACACAATAAAAAAGCTAAGTATCAGCCACAACAGAGACATAGAAGTGAACCAAAATAAGGATTGCTTGAACCCCAAATAAAGAATAAACTGAATCCAAAATGATAACAATGTTTACACAAAATGACAATGCAAATATATTGAAATTGCCCCATGTTCATGTAACAAAATGTATAGAGGATATCCTGTACAATAAGACAAACTCCAGACTTCAAGACGAAAACCTGATAGCCAAAAACATTCAGAAAGGAAATCCTTTTTGGAAGTTCTTCTTTGAGGCTTCTGCCAATCGCTTAACACCCTTCACATTTTTGTAGAACTCCATCAATTCATCAGCAGCATCCTTTGGGTGACAATTAACAAATACTTTCAAAAACCTCCTCTCCGTCATCCGCATTGCCCTCACCATCATAGGGCCATTAATCTGTAAATCAAGACCCATTTCCTGCACCTTCCTGGCAAGAAGTACTCGTGGCTTCAACACATCCTCCAGATTCTTGAATAGCAAACTTGGGTGCTCAAGAACTGTAGTAGCGGGAAGCTTCATTTCTCCTAAAATGAAAGTCATGTTCCTCTGAACCTTATCGACTGATAGTGTCAAGACAAACGGAGACTTCCCAAAAAAGAGAAAAACCTCATCTTCTGAGAAACCAAACTTCTCCAAGTTTGCAACTTTCTGACGGATAGTTTCAAGGCGTGAAATGCCAATTATCGTAACAACATACTTGAACATTCTGGAATCATTTGAAACTCTGGTTTTTCCTATATATTCCATCTTTTCTTCATTAAAGGAAGTTCTTGGTATCAATGTAGGCCGTGATAGAAGCATCTGGATCAAGTCCGGCATACTAAGACCAATTCCTTCATATAGCGCAATGACCGGTTTGATTTTCTTGTGAAGGTCATGGGTCAAGAAAGACGGGTTCCTTAATATGGCTTTGGCAAGCACTTCCTTTGATCCAAACAATGTCATCAAGAACTCAACCCGTTCATCAAAGCAATGGTTAACTCGACAAGTGAGAAACCGGGGCCGATCATTGATAATCTTCGCAAGCTCAGGAGCACTGATGCCCAACCACGTTAAACGTTCGAGTTTGGACTGAAGCTGGTTAGCGTCAGCTTTCAGTAGAAAAGGCCCCCGAGTGAAAATATTAGATATTTCAGTATCAGTACAACCGAATTGCTTCATAATTTGCACAGAGGTCTTGGATTGGTCTCCAATGTCTTCTCCTACACTGTCTTCCTCGGTGTGGCAAACCGTCGAATAGGTGGCGGGTGTGAAAATAAACCAAGTTGTTGGGAGCAGAATCTTGGGCAAAAATAAGAAATTTGGCGAGGTGGGCAGTAAGATGCGGAGCTTAAGTAAGGACCCAAATGTGGATTTCATGTCAAAATGCACTTTGTTTCAAAGCAGGAAGAACACAAAAGGCTTTCAGATTGGGAAGGTAATGTGTTGCGAATTTTGGTATAAGAGGACTTGAAACCTTGATGCCTCTGCTGTAAAAATGCGTCTTAAAGATTGCTCTTTGTATATTAGGTTTGCAGCTGAATGATATGGAATGGAAGTCAGTTTTGTTCGTTGACCTGCAGAGGGAAAATGCAGTGGAAAAGCTATATAGATTTGCCGTTTGCAAAGCACGTGCGCAAATACAAGGATTTACAACCCCTATATACATGCTATTGATATTGTTTCATTATTTCGATAGTATTTTCTTTAACAACGTGGAATAGAAAGACCACTAAACCAATAGCTAGTTGATACAAACGAGTCATGTCTTGTCATGGACTCATGTTCGGGTTGTGCTTTTCTGGATTTGTATTGCATGAATTGATACTAACTCAATTTCTTTTATTATTTGACACCAAAAAAAAAAAAAAAAAAAAAAAAAAAAAAAAAAAACTTCTTTATTAATTCTCATGTTCGAGTCGATACAAATCTTATAAATAAGTCAATTTGTATGTTGACTTTATAAGATGTCGTCCAGCCTTGGATGTTGCTCTCCTCAACGTTTGCTATGTTGACAGCCATGAAAGAAGTATTTTCAACTTCTAATCTTTTCTTAAGTTCAGAAAGCTGAGACATTCTTTAAGCGGTTGGAATGCTTTTACAGTAACAAACTCATCACTTGTCTCTTAATCCAGGTAACTCTTCGCTGCAACAAGTAACTCTGATTCGTAAGTTCTTTAGTCCTGCAGATTCAATATTCAGAACATAGCATATACATATGGATGTGGAGAAGTTAAAAGAGCGTGAGAATGTTTACCAGGAGGAAATGGATCATACTGATGACCATAGATTATAATGAGATTGTAACAAGCAGATCATTCTGAAAAGGCCTAGTTCCTCTTAGGAGCATGGACTTATCAAAGTACATAACCTAGGAAGAGCTCCTATCTGGCTATCTCCAGTACTCTGAACTTCTCTACCGGAACCTAGATTTCGCTTATTATTGTTTGGTGGGTTAAACTTGATCCTAATGACTCTTCCTCCATGCCTGTCAATTATTTTCCAAAAGAAAAGTGACACTTCAAGCATGAACATATACATTAACATGTCAAATCTAATTCTTCATAGATGTATATGAAGCTCCTCCAGATTTAGAATTTTAGTATTTTGACTTGTTTTGAACATATACTAAGAGGAATGATACAACTGTTAACATATCTTAGGAAGGTGAATACCTGAGTGTTGAGAAGCAATATGTGAAAGCGGTCTGTGTTATTGGACAATGATGACATCCCAAAAGTATAACGAGTTAAGCAAGGCACTTTCATCTACTCTTGGAGCAAAACAAAACATCCACATGATCAGCATGGTAATAAATCTTTGCTCCTCTTCAAGGATGAACAACAAATTTAGCTAGTTCTACTGTCTTAAGTTGGCTGAAAAAGCACAGTTTTCGTTGTTGTGGATTGTAAAAGGCTCTGTGCTGGTTCTTTTTTCAAACTTCTGTTTTCTATCAAATTTCGGGTTTCCAAAGCATTGTCCCATGCTCCAGATGCAGCATATATGCTTCCTAGAACAACATAGTTAACTGAATTCTTTGGATCCATCTCAAAAAGATGCATTGCTGCCAGTTCTCCAAGTGATCTATTACCATATATGCTACATGCCCCAAGAATGGCTCCCCAAAGTGAGGCATTAGGCTTGATGTTCATGTCACATATCAACTTGTAAGCTTCTTCTAACAAACCTGCACGTGCGTAAAGATCTACAATGCAAGAAAAATGCTCAGCTTCAGGCAAGATGTTGTATTTGCTGAACATAGTATTGAAGCATTCCCATCCTTCTCCTGTCAATCCAGCATGGCTACAAGCAAAGAGAAGAGACAAGAATGTGACACCATTAGGTTCCAACCCCTCATATTCCATCTTTTTATATAAAGCAATCGCCTTATGTCCTAAGCCATGCCTTCCATATCCAGAAATCAGCGATGTCCATGAAATAACATTTTTTTCTTCCATCTCATCAAAAGCATGGTTAGCATCTTCAATTTCTCCGCATTTGGCATACATATCAACTAGAGCATTTCCCATGGCCACATCATAACAAGCTTGGTGTTTAAAAGTCAGGGCATGGATTTGTCTTCCCAAGATCAATGAAGCACTATTGGCACATATGTTAAGCATGGAGCATAATATGACACCATCCAAGGCCAGGTGCATAAGAGTCATTTCTTTAAAGAGATCTAGCACATCTCTGCTGTAGTTACCTTCTTGTGCATATCCAGTTATCAGTGCAGTGCAAGCTATAATGTCCTTTTTCATCATGTTCTTGTATATTTTATGAGCACTCTCTACACTTCCACATTTAGCATATGCATTGATCAGCGATCCACTTAAAGTTTTGTGTGATCCAAACCCCACTTGCATGATGAACCCATGTATTTGACTTACCTTCATTAAACCACTACCTCCAGCTAAGGCTCTCAAAACACTCCCCAAGGTGAAGCAATCAGGGAACATGCCTGAGTCAAATATCACATATACAATTAAACATAACTAACTAAAGGAAAGCAACGGAAGTGATACATATGATAACAAAATCTTAAAGCATGAAAAATGATAATTTAGAACTGTTGTGTCTCCAGCTGTAGCCTTGATTCCCTCACTTTGAAGATAAGCATTATATGATGCTAAATTTTGACTATCTATTAAGAAGACATAAAGAAACCCATTGTTGACTATTTGCTTGAGAGTTAAGTACACCAAAAAAAAAGGCACACACAAAAGGGCCGTAAATGATATGGGTATTATAATTTTTCCTAAATTGAATGTATCATTCAGTGGTCAGCAAACAAAAGGGCAATGTCATTCACCAAGGCAAGGTAAATGTGGGAATGTGGCGACTAAGCATCACTCAAAAAATATGGAACAAACACAAAGAAGAGCACAAATAATAAGAATATAAAAGCTTCAATTTTAACCACAAGTATAAACATTCACCTTCCCTCATCATTGAATGAAACAGTTGCAATGAGGCATCAGCAAAGCCCTGAACAGCATAGCCGCCAATCATTGCATTCCAAGAGACCAAGTCCCTTTCCGACATTTCCTCAAACAAATAACGCGCATCCTCTATCTTTCCACACTTTGAATGAAAATCAACCAACGCACTCTGCACAACCAAGTTCTCAGCAAACCTACCTTTCAGAATACACCCCTGTATTTGCATCCCTACTTCCAAACACCGCAAACTTGTACATGCCCTCAACGTGCTACCATACCCAAACTGATTAGCTCTAAAACCCGCCTGACGCATATTCAAAAACATCACCAAAGCATTTTCATAACATCCACTTCGAGCATACCCAGAAATCATAGCGGTCCAAGACACAACATTTTTCTCAGGCATTCGATCAAACACGTTACGGGCACTAACAATGCGGCCAAATTTCGAGTAAAATATTACCAGCTTGGTGTTTAAATTCAAATTTGAATCAAACCCACTTGTTATTGCGTGGTTATGAACCAAAAGACCGGGTCTTTCTGCTCGTTCATCGATGCAGAGCTGCAAGATATTCATGTAGCAAGAATAATAAGAGTCTAACTCAGCTGGGTTTAAGAGAATTAGTCTCAGAGCCTCCTGTAGTTGACCCCTTTTGCAGAATGCGTGCATAATGAGTGAGTTTGTGTACTTCTACTTTTTAATGGGGTCTGTCATTATTTGGAAGTTCGTTTGTCGTTTTTGTACGGAAACTGGCTTCAGTTTGGGTTTTATGCCGCCATTTTCAAACGGAATTATGTAGTACCGTAATTTTGTACGGATAATACAGAAATTCTATGTGGCGACAACAATATTCGCGGACCGAACTCATTTGAACCGAATTGAACTGAATAAATCAAATTAAATTAATTAAAAAGTATAATTAGACCGAACCGAACTAAACTGCTTTGAGGTAATTTTTCCTTCTAAATAGTATATTATCAATTCAACCCCTTGTGCTTTGAAAAAACTAAAATCCATAATTGAAGTAGATAAGGGTTAATAAAAATGGTATGGATTTCACTCCACCAAAACGCAATAATTATGTCAAATAACTTATTTTTCAAAATTTAGAAAATCTTTTCCTTTGAAAGACTTTGTAAGTCAATTGGTTTACACATTTTACTCGAGTATAGGTTTAATATTCGATTTTTCCCATCTCACAATACCACTTGTAAAAAAACAGAAAGGGAATTAACCCCCCCTGGGGAAAAATGACCATTATAACTTATCCTTGTATCAACCTATCCGATCTTTCATGCATAAGTAGTTCGTTTCTAACATTTGAAAAGAAAATATATAATGATGTTTGTATAATGGTATTTATGTCAATAATTGCGTAGAATAATAATAAAAAGATACGAACAGCACGACGACAAGATAAAGCTTCGAGTAAAGTACAGAAATAAATAACCTTCCAAACCAATAAATAGAATAAAATAACGTGTGCCTCGTGTCTCTCCAGTCACCACTGCCATAAATTAATTAAAAAGAAAAGCAGAAAGTAAACCAATGATGGGATTTTCCATTGTCTTGTTGGGCCAGCCGCTTTGACTTCATACATTCACAGGAGACGTTGACAGTTAATTAAAGTCTAACAGCGAGGCAGTATTTTCTGAAAAAATACATCTCACAAATATTTTCTTTTAAAATATAGAGCGTCAACAGAAAAATTTCGGCCATAACTTCATCATCTGGCTAGAAACCTTGTGCTGACCATTCATGGCTAGAACTAGCTCTGCCTGTCTCAGTGTAGCTTCCTTCCTCTTTTTTTCAAGCTTACTGTGGAATTTCAATGCTGCAAGGAACACACTCAAACCAGGTGACACTCTAAATTCCTCAAGCTCCTTAGTTTCTGCAATGGGGAAATTCACCATGGGGTTCCATATTTATGACCACAATTTGAACTATAGCTACCTCGTTGTTAAGTGGGCTTCAAGTCGTAATTATGCATGGATTGCCAATAGAAACAAACCCATTTTGTACCCTTTGGGAATTCTTACCTTGGACCAAAATAATACATTGAAAATTACACACAAGGATGGTGAGCCTGTTGTACTTTACTCTGCTTCAGAAACTAGCAATGCCAATAATATTGTGGCTACCCTTTTAGATTCTGGCAATTTTGTCCTACAAGAATTGAGCTTTGATGGATCACCCAAAAGGGTTTTGTGGCAAAGCTTTGATTTCCCTGTAGACGTCCTTCTGCCAGGTATGAAATTAGGTTTGAACCATAAAAGTGGTCATGTTTGGTCACTTTCATCATGGTTTACTCCTAACAGTGCAGTGCCAGGGGCTTTCACTCTTGATTGGGACCCGGAGGCACACGAATTGAAGATTAGACGGCGCGGGGTGGTTTATTGGAGCAGTGGAGCCTTTAGGAATGGGAGATTTAAATTTATTTTGCCTGATGAATCCAAGCTGAGGTATAATTTTAGTATTGTGTCAAATGAAGATGAAGATTACTTCACTTACAGTGCTGTAGATCAAAGTGGTATATCAGAATGGGTGCTAACCACAATGGGGAGACTATATGACTTTGATGAGACAATTGATATTGCACAAGCAGATTATTGTTATGGCTCCAACACTGATGGAGGGTGCCAGATGTGGGACCGGCCAATTGATTGCAGGCATGCTGGTGATAGATTTGAGGAAGAAAAGGGTTACTTCAATCCAACCGGCTCTGGTCGACAGCAACGAGTGATACTTCAAATACAAGCTTCAGCATCAGTGATTGTAAGGCTGCTTGCTGGAAAAATTGTGACTGCCTTGGATTCAACTATCTGTTTGATAATCAGACCGGATGTCGATTTTGGACTGGCCACTGGGAGTTCATCAAGGACAGCACAGGTTATAGTTCAAGCAATATTTATTTTCTAACAACAAAGGCATCGAGCAACCATGGTAAGTCCTCCTGATAATCTTTTGCGCTAAGAGTCTGTCCACAAATTTCCAATTTCACTTGAAAAAGAAACAAAATGGAACTTTGAGTATGCATAGAAAAGTACTAAATTCACTGTGAGTATACTTAAATGTTTGACACATCAATAGGCTTGAGTATTTTGTTCACTTTATATGGTTCTGAAGCCTGCAGGGTTCTAAAAAGCTACTTAACGTGTGTATGCAGAACATAAGAGGATAATCTGGATTGGTACTGCTGCTGCTGCTGCTCTATTGACAATGGTGCTTTGCATCATGTGCTGTTTATTAAGAAGAAGAATTTTTTTACTTCCAGGTATATTCTTCAAGCATAAGGAAGCTTTTGACAGAATTTCACAGATTTGAGAAATGAAAATCTTAATGTAATGCATTAATGAAACAGGGGAGAACAGGAGAAAGATTGATGACAAGGAATTGCTTGACGTGAAGGAATCTTACTCATCTAACAATGTCAATGCGCTTCAGAATGATGGAGATATGGGGCATGATTTAAGAGTATTTAGCTATGCATCTGTCAAGGCAGCCACAGGAAACTTCTGTGATGAAAACAAGCTTGGAGAAGGGGGCTTTGGACCAGTTTATAAAGTAAGGTTTTAAAGAATACGAAAGTAATATTGTTATTTGTTGCTAAGGAAAATTGATTATATGACCTATTATGGATCATTGATTCAGGGGAAAATGTCAACGGGACAAGAAATAGCTGTGAAGAGGCTTTCAAGATGTTCGCTACAAGGAACATGGGAGTTTAAGAATGAGTTGATACTTATATCTGAACTTCAACATACAAATCTTGTTCGGATTTTGGGATTTTGCATTCATGGTGTAGAGAGGATGTTAATATACGAGTATATGCCAAACAAAAGTCTAGACTACTTTTTATTTGGTTGGGAATTAGACCTGTCATTTAATTTCAGTATTTGTTTCATTTCTTGCAGATTTATATTATCTGATTTTGAAGATTGCGAAGTTTTTCAATCTTTTCTAACTGTTTAATGCATTGAGCAGATTCAACCAGAGGCATGTTACTAGACTGGAAGAAGCGTTTTAATATAATCGAAGGAATTGCTCAAGGACTGCTTTACTTGCACAAATATTCAAGATTGAGGGTGATTCATAGAGATCTTAAAGCTAGTAACATATTACTTGATGAAGATATGAACCCCAAAATTTCTGACTTTGGTATGGCAAGGATTTTCAAGCATAATGAGCGGGAAGCAAATACTAATAGGATCGTTGGGACATAGTAAGTTATATGCATAAGCAGTGCATTCTTATGTATCATGCCCATCACTTTTGATTGCCAAGCATGTGTTTATGTACTAAATCATACCTTTTCTTTTAAATTTCAGTGGTTACATGTCTCCTGAGTATGCAATGGCAGGGAAACTTTTCAACAAAGTCCGATGTCTATAGCTTTGGTGTATTGATGCTTGAAATCATAAGTGGTAGGAAAAATAATAGCTTCTACAATGCCGATCGCGTCTTGAATATAGTAGGATATGTATGTCAAGCTAATCTCTCTATGATTAAGATTTTTATTCTTTGAGGTGAGACTGGAGAGAGTCTGATATCCTAAATGAATATAAGCTTATTTCAGGCATGGGGGTTATGGAATGAAGGTGCAGGGCTAAGATTAATGGATCCAACGCTACATGAATCATGCATTGAGGATCAACTGATAAGATGCATCCATGTCGGTCTGCTATGTGTAGAAGAGATGCAGCAGATCGGCCTACCATGTCAGAAGTCATATCTATGTTGACAAATGAAAGCATGTCATTTCCTATACCAATGAGGCCAGCATTTTTCACAAGAAGAAACGAGGTTGATGCAGACATGAGCGTAAAGGAACCAGAAGTTTTATCAAGAAATGACTTTTCCTGTTCCGATATAGTAGGAAGATGAAGGTACTAACATGTTTGGTGTGGCTCAATTGTTGCTATTATACTTGCTTTGATAGCTGTAAAGATAACTCTTTGAAAAGTGAAAATTTAATATGGGGTTCCATATATGACCAGAATTTGAACTATAGCTACACACCGTTATTAAGTGCTCGGCAAGTCATAATAATGCATGGATTGAAAATCAAAACAAACCCATTTTACACCCTTTGGGAATTCTCACCATGAACCAAAGTAAAGCATTGAAAGTTACACACAATGATGGTGATCCTGGTTTGCTTTCCTCAGCTTCAGAAACTAGCTATACCAATATTGTTTGTACCCTTTTAGATTCTGGGAATTTTGTCCTACAAGAATTCAGCTTTGATGGATCAGTGAAAAGGGTTTTGCGGCAAAGTTTTGATTTGCGTGAAGACACACCTTTGTACCAGGAATGAAATTAGATGTGAAGTGAACCATAAAAATGGTGATATTTGGTCACTTTCATCATGGTTTACTCCCAATAGTGCAGTTCCAGGGGCTTTCAGTCTTTGATTGGGACCCCGAACAAACATGAAAATTAAGTTTTGTCCTAATTTAATATTTATTTTATCAGGCTCTTGTATATTTTATGAGCATTCTCTTCTCTACCCTTTCACATTTTGCAAAAGCACATTGACTTTCCTTCTAAATATTGATAATTCCAACGCCGTTTTGCTTCGGGAAAACTAACATATATATCTTCGTTTTAAGGTTCATATACATTAACAGGAATAGGACTTCGTGCTTAGTGTCTCTCTACTGTCATAAATTAACAGGAAAAGAAGAAAGGAAACCTTGTTGGGTTTTGCTAATAGCTTTGTTGGCCGGCCTGTAGTTGACCTCATACATTCTCAGTACATGTTGATGGTTAAAGTCCAACGACAATTCAGTCTTGTCTAACAAAAGAAATCCCACAACAATTTGGTTTTATAATACAGAGCCACAACAAGAAATATGTCACCAAAGTTTTCATCATTTGGCTATAAACCTTGTGCTGATCAGTCATGGCTACCGCTAGCAGTCTCAGTTTAGCTTCCTTCCTCTCTTCTTTCAAGCTTACCGTGGAATTTTAATGCTGCAAGGGACACAATGAAACTAGGTGACACTCTCAATTCCTCAAGTTCCTCAGTTTCTGCAATGGGTAAATTCACTATGCGGTTCCATAGATATGACCACAATTCAAACTATAGCTACCTGGTGATTCAGTCATCGGCAAATCATAATTATGCATGGTTTGCCAATCGAAACCAACCCATTTTGCACCCTTTGGGAATTCTCACCTTGGACCAAAATAAAACATTGAAAATTACACACGAAGATGGTGACCCTGTTGTATTTTACTCTGCTTATGAAACTAGCAATAGCAATAATATTTCTGCTACCCCTTTAGATTCTGGAAATTTTGTCCTACAAAATTGGAGAAATGGTGGATCAACACAAGGGTTTTGATTTTCCTGTAGACACCCTTCTGCCAGGTATGAAATTTGGTCTGCACCACAAAAGTGGTAATACTTGGTCACTTTCATCATGGTTTACTCCTAATAATGCAGCTCCGGGTGCTTTCACTCTTGATTGGGACTTGAATCAACAAGAATTGAAGATTAGACGACACGGGGTAGTTTATTGGAGTACTGGAGCTTTTATGAATGAGAGGTTTAAATTTATGTTGCCTGATGAAACCAAGCTGAGGTATAACTTTAGCATTCTTTCAAATGAAGATGAAGACTCCTTCACTTACAATCCTGTAGATCAAAGTGGTAAATCAGAATTTGTGATAACCATAATGGGGAGACTGTATGACTTTGACAGGAAAATTGATATTGCAGAAGCAGATTACTGTTATGGCTCTAACACTGATGCAGGGTGCCAGACATGGGACCAACCGACTGTAGGAATGATGGTAATAGATTTGAGCAAGGAAGTGGTTACTTTAATGTAAGCGGCTCAGGTTCGGCAACAAGAAGTGATATTTCAAATGCAAGTCTCAGCATTAGTGATTGTAAGGCTGCTTGTTGGAAAATTTGTGACTGCCTTGGATTCAACTTTCTGTTTGATAATCAGACCAGGTGTCGATTTTGGACTGGAAACTGGGAGTTTGTTCAAGATCGGTCAGGTTCTAGTTCAGCCAGTATTTATTTTCTAACAACAATGGAATTGCGCAGTCATAGTAAGTCTTTGAATCTTTTGTGCTAAGAGTCTGTCCACAAATTTCCAATTTCATATGACTTGACATCTTCCAAAGAGACAATATGTACAAACAACAAAAAAGAATTTTGGGAATACATAGAATAAGTACTAGGATTCACTATGAGTTTTCTTGCATGTTTGACACATAAGTAGGCTTAAAGCATTTCGTTCACTGTAGACAATATCTGAAACCAGGGTTCTGAATACCTAATTGTGTGTGTATGCAGAGCATAAGAGGATAATATGGATTTGCACTGCTACTGCTGCTGCTTCTCTGTTGATAGTGGTGCTTTTGCGTCATGTGCTGTCTATTAACAAGAAGAAATCTTTTACTTCCAGGTAGGTTCGTTAGTCACAAGGAAGTAATAGACAAACGTTGGCAGATTTGAAAATTTTAACTTTCTGCATTTACCAAAATAGGGAACAGGGCAAAGGTTGATCAGAAGGAACTTCTTGACGTAAAGAAATCGTTCACATGTAATGATGTCAATGGGCTTCAAGAAGATGGAGAGATGGAACATGATTTAAGAGTATTTATCTATGCATCTCTTATGGCTGCCACAGGAGACTTCTCCGAGGAAAACAAGCTTGGAGAAGGGGGCTTTGGACCTGTTTATAAGGTAAGGCTTTATAATAATAGAAAAGTATATTATTATTGCTAAGAAATAACTGATGATGTGAAATATTTATGGATCATCAATATTTCAGGGAAAACTTATGACAGGACGAGAAGTAGCTGTAAAGAGGCTTTCAAGATGTTCGGTGAAAGGATTGGAGTTTAAGAATGAACTGACACTCATATTTGAGCTAGTAACATACTACTTGATGGAAATATGAACCCCAAAATCTCCGACTTTGGTATAGCAAGGATTCTCACTCATACTGATCTAGAAGCAGAGACTAATAGGATTGTTGGGACATTGTAAGTCATACATTCTTATGTATCTTGTCTAGCACTCTTGGTTGCCAATCACACATTTATGTACATATGTAATAAATCTTACTTTTTCTTTTGAATTTGCAGTGGTTACATGTCTCCTGAATATGTCACAGGGGCAATTTTTCTACAAAATCTGATGTCTATAGCTTTGGAGTATTAGTGCTTGAAATCATAAGTGGTAGGAAAAATAACAGCTTCTACAATGCCGGTCACATCGGCCATGTAGTAGAATATGTATGTCAAATGAATCTCTCTATGATCAAAAGTTTTCTTCTCTGAAGTGATCACTTGAGACACTTTGATACCCTAACTGAATATAAGCTTATTTCAGGCATGGGAGTTATGGAAAGGAGGTGCAGGGCTACGATTAGTGGATCTGACACTGGGCGATTCATGTATTGATGACCAATTGCTAAGATGCATCCATGTTAGTCTGCTATGCGTGGAAGCAAATGCAGCTGATCGGCCCAGCATGTCAGAAGTCATATCTATGTTGGCAAATGAAAGCATGCCATTACCTACACCAACAAGGCCATCATTTTTTCGAGGAACACAGGAGGATGAAAGTGATATAAGTGGGAAGGAATCAGAAATTTTGTCAATAAATGGCTTGTCCCCTTCTGATATAGTAGGAAAGATAAAGTTGTGCCTCAATCGTACTTTCTTTTCCATAAGTGTAATGATACTTTTTATTTGTAAAATTATTGTTTCCAAATAGACTTAAAGGAGCATCACTTTAGCTTGCAATTTGTGCCTTTGGAGGAAAGAAAAAGTGGCCACATTTCGCCTAATCTGCTGGAAGCCTCGACCATGGATAAAAAGAAAAAGGAAGAGCATAAAATGCCCCTCCATCCCATTGAATCCGGGTCTTGGACTATATTGTGAAGTTAACTTTGAAGAGTCACTGAACCAAAACGTGCTTTATCCATTTCTTTTGTTAGACTTTATTTGAGCTTTCACACCACTTAACTGATCTATTTAGTCCAAGATGAAATCATCAGCCCTTTTGGGTCCTCTTCTCCCCTCTTTAAGAAAATCGATCATGGCACAAACTTCTCTACGTTTGATTAGGGTTGAATATGTTAAGTAGGGTGTACTTATTAAAATTATATTTGTTTCATAATTCAATATATCCTTTTTGGTTATTTTATATTATGGTAAATTAGTAATTCAATAATAGTATGGTAATATGGTGTACTAAGTTAACTTTAGAGTTCGTTTAGCAGCACTCATTAGCTGATAGCTCTTTTGTGGTTTGTGCTCCCCTGTAAAAAGTTGGTTATATCAACATCTCTCAATGTTCAATTTAAATAATGTATATATATTTTCATAAATGTCGATTACCGATGTTTTCTCTTACACGATAATTTTCTACCTTCATATAAACTAGCTTTTATTTTTTATTATTTATTTTTCAGTCAATACAATCAAACTGGCTTTAAAATTCACTTGCCAAAAGGTACTTGACAACTTTCCTTTGGCTGCTAGGCTTTATGAAAAAGGGAAATGTGGGGTTTAAAGGAGCTTATCTGATTAAAGGGTTTCAATTATGTGATCCTGCATGATTTGGATAGTGATTTTCTCTATTATGCATTTCATTTTCTGTGGCACAATGGACACATACGTTTTAAGTTTTCAAGTTATGTCGGCCACTGGACCTTTTAAGTTTTCAAGCGACTTTGATGGTTAAATTCACATAATAATTTGATTTAGATCGATCGATCAGATTCAGAACCAAAAAGAATAAAGATAGATATATAGAACTGTTAGTATTAATTTTGATGCCTTGGACTATCAAGTCCTGTGGATTTTCCCCAGAGGTGGGGTTTTACCACGTAAAATAACTTCTGTGTTTTTATCTATTTTTACGTTCTGTACTGTAGAGGATTGATACATCGTATCAATCCCTTTGGCGTGTTTTTATATATTACTGTATTACTCTTGACTACTCAAAACGCAGACTTTACTTTTTTAGTGTTTTAAGCCATCCTATAGGTATTTTCAAGAACATATTTTGATCAGCCAAGGTTTCATCATTTGGAGAAATAAAAGTAGTTTGTGAAAATTCATGGCTAGCAGTCTAAAGTTGATTTTGTTCCTTATTTTTTCAAGCTTAATGTGGACTTATACTGCTGCTAGGGATACACTCAAACCAGGTGACACTCTCAATTCCACAAGTTTCTTATGTTCTGCAAAGGGGAAGTTCTGTTTGGGTTTCATTGTGTACGACCAACTGAATTCCAGCCAGTTGACCGTATGGAGCACTACACCAAATAGCCAACTATGGATTGCCAGCCGAGACATGCATGTTTTATACCCGACAGGAGTTCTTACCTTGGACAAGAACAAAACATTGAAAATTATGGACCAAGGAGGAACTAGGTTGGAGCTTTGCTCTGCTCCGAAAAGAACTAGAAATGTTGTGGCTACTCTTCTAGATTCTGGCAATTTTATCCTACAAGAAGTGAACTCTGTCGATGGATCGACCACTCAGGTTTTCTGGCAAAGTTTTGATTATCCAACAGACACCCTTATGCCAGGCATGAAATTAGGTGTTAACCATAGAAATGGTCATGTTTGGTCACTAGCTTCATGGTCAAGTAATTACAACCTAGAGCCAGGGCCTTTCACCCTTGAATGGGATGCCAAAGGGCGTGAACTGAAGATTAAGAGACGTGGGGTGGTTTATTGGACTAGTGGAGCCTTTACGAGTAAGAGGTTTAAGCTGATCATGATGAGGTATAATGTTAGCATTGTTTCAAACGAAAATGAAGACTACTTCACTTACACTGCTTTAAACCAAAGTTCTCCATCACAATGGTTGCTTACCTCAACTGGGCGACTATATGACTTTGGAGGATTTGATATTGCAAGGGCAGATAATTGTTATGGCTATAACACTGATGGAGGGTGCCAGAGGTGGGCGGAGAAGCCAACTTGTAGGCATGTTGGTGATACATTTGAGCTAAAAAGTGGTTTCTTTAGACTAACCAGCTCTAATTCAACATTCCTGAATGATTCGGATACAAGTCTTAGTATTAGTGATTGCAAGGATTCTTGTTGGAAAAATTGTGAGTGCCTTGGGTTCAACTTTCTGTTTGATATTGATCAGACTGGATGCCAATTTTGGACTGGAATGAACTGGGAGTTCATTCAAGACTTTAATGGTGATTCTACATTGAGTTTTTACTTGTTAAAAAAGTCACCTCTCAATCATGGTAAGCCTACTAAATCATTAACCTTTTGAACTAATGAGCTGTCAACAAGTTTCAATTTCATATCAGTTCCCTTCGATGTACGATGTTCAGAAGTTTCTATTTCATATCAGCTCACATCATTCCACAACAGACAATGCATACAAACAACAAAAGATAATTTGCCGCACGAGCACATGCATACATTTACACGCAATTAAACTGGAAGTTCATTAACTGCACAATGCAGGTAAAGACAAGGGGATATGGATTGGCATTGGCATCGCCGCTGCTGCTCTGCTGCTAATGGTACTCTGCATCGTCTGCTATCTACTAAGAAGAAGAAAATTTACACTTTCAGGTACACAGAGTTATTCACATCCTTGAAAATTGTTGTTATAAATATAAAAGTTTAACTTACTACCTTAATCTAAATAGGGGAGAACGAGACAAAGATCATTGAGAATGAATTGCTTGACTTAATGAAATCTGATAGACCTACTGATGCCAATGCACTTCAAAATGATGGAACGATGCGACATGATTTAAGCATGTTTAGCTATGCATCTGTCATGGCTGCTACATGCAACTTCTCCCCAGAAAACAAGCTTGGACAAGGGGGTTTTGGGCCTGTTTATAAGGTAAGGCTTTAGGTTATAAGAAGTGTTTAGTTATTAATAGCTAAGTATAAATAGCTGATCATCAAGTGAGATACTGTGGGTCATCAATTCAGGGAAAATTGCTGACGGGACAAGAAATCACTGTGAAGAGGCTTTCAAAATGTTCAGGGCAAGGAACGCTGGAGTTTAAGAATGAATTGATACTCATATATGAACTCCAACATAAAAACCTTGTCAAACTTTTTGGATTCTGCATTCATGGCGAAGAGAGGATGCTAATATACGAGTATATGCCAAACAAAAGTTTGGACTACTTTCTGTTCGGTTGGAAGCACTCACTTTAATCTTATTACTTGATTTCTTTTGTCACTTAATTGTCAAAAATACAAGGATCATGATCAATCTTGTAATTTCACCCTATATATTGGACAGATTCAACAAGAGTCATGCTACTAGATTGGAAGAAGCGCTTTAGTATAATTGAAGGAATTGCTCAAGGATTGCTTTACTTGCACAAGTACTCAAGAGTGAGAGTAATTCATAGAGATTTAAAAGCTAGTAACATACTACTTGATGAAAACATGAACCCCAAAATTTCTGATTTTGGTATGGCAAGGATTTTCAAGCATAATGAACTGGAAGCAAATACTAATAGGGTTGTTGGAACATAGTAAGTAAACAATTTGACGTTCAAAATTTTTGGTTTGCTAAACATGCATTTTTGTATGCCAAGACGTACTAAATTTCTGTTCTATTTGATACAGTGGTTACATGTCTCCTGAGTACGCCATGGAGGGCATCTTTTCCATAAAGTCTGATGTTTATAGTTTTGGAGTGTTAATGCTTGAAATCATAAGTGGTAGGAGAAACAATAGCTTCTACAATGCTGATCGCCTGCTCAATATAGTAGGATATGTATGTCAAGCAAATTAACAGATTGTGATGACTAAATTTTTCTTCTCAATTTGAGGTGTGTGATTCTGTATAATTGAATTAAGTCTTTGTTTCAGGCATGGGAATTATGGAAGGAAGGCACAATGCTAGAACTAATGGATCCAACAGTAGGTGATTCATGTATTAAAGATCAATTCTTAAGATGCATCCATGTTGGCCTGCTATGCGTGGAAGAAAATGCATCTGATCGGCCGACCATGTCGAATGTCATATCTATGTTAACAAATGAAAGCATGCCATCTGCATTACCTACAAGCCAGCATTTTTTACAGGAAGAAATGTGGTTGAAGCTAGTATAAGTGGAAAAGAAAATAGAAATTTTTTCAACAAATGACTTATCCAATTCCACTAATGTAGCACGATGACGGTATGCTTGTGTTGCCATGGACAAATCACTTGAGCTTGCACTTGGTATGTCCCTGTGGAAATGGTGGCTATCTGATCGAGATGTCCATGCAGAGACAAATCATCTGTATTTAGCTGATGGAAACATCTCTCAGTAACACATTAATTTTGGATTAAGTTATTGTAACATATGATATTGGCATTACTTTGTAAAATTAACCCCCCATTAGTAAAACTTTACCTAAACTTTACAATTGCAGCCTCTTATCACTGTCATTCATGCTTGAAAACTTGGAAGAAACAGAGAAGAGAAGAGGGGACACTCTTTATCTTTTCTTAAGCCATCAAATTTTGAAGTTCAAATAACTCCTTAGTTTCCATGTCTGACGTCGTATCTATGTTGACCACTGAAACCATTTCAGTGCCATTACCTACAAGGCCAGCATTCTTCACAAGAAGAAATGTTATTGAATCTGATATAAGCAGAAGGGAATTACAAACTGTATCAATAAAACTAGTACGCAAACGTTACCTAAAGGGAAAGGGTTCAACTTTTTTCTCGTATGGTCAGTGCAAGTGCAACCTTAATTATTAAAGGGAAAGGTGAACTTGATATCAACAATTTTGTAAAGTTTTGTCTGCCACTTCATCTTTTGTTTATTTTTTTTGGAAGACCTTTCCAATTAATTTGAAAGAGATGTTTAAGTAACCCACTAATAATTCCCAACCTTTAACTAAATATATACTATTGCTTTGGTTAAAATTGAGCTAAAAACACACAATAATTATTTTAGGAGCTCTATATAAAATTTGAACTCCAATTATACTCCCTAGTTTAGAGAGTCATAAATACTATAGTTATTTTTTAATTTAATATAATTGGTCCATCTCTATAAAAAAAATATATATATAAAAAAATAGTTAGTATTAATTACAAGTTTAAACTATGTATAAAACAAAGCAGTATTAACTTATAGGCAGCCACTAGGAATCTTTTCTCTCTTCACAGATTTAGGAGCTTCTAGAGGTTTCCCTATTTTACGAGGTGAATAGGGAGCATGGTTGGAGTTCTATTTTTCTAATACCTCCCTAAAATTTGTCTAAATAGGTGGTTTAAGTAACCCATTGATAATTATAGACCTATAAAGTTGAATGAATAATGGATTGTTAGGCTACATTTGGGTGGACTACTAAGATTTTATGGAGTGAATCATATTAAAATACATATAGTATATTTAAATTTTTTTAAAGGCTACCTGGGCTATAGCCCATGCCATGGTAGCCTTGTTGCTAGTTCCGCTAGTGATTACATGTCTAAGTTTTGATTACTACCATGCATTCACTTACGTATATATGCACTAAATTTTCTTAAAGTTTTGTTTGGTACAATAGTTACATGTCTCTTGAGTACGCGATTGAGAGAATTTTTTTCAGTAAAATCCTATGTCTTTAGAAGAGCCATTCATGAATTTTTCAGGGCCCCTATATATATATATAAAATATTTATTATTATTTAAACTTAGTGATGGATTCACTCTCATTTTTCAACCAAGATCTAACCTGTCCAAATTAGCTAAAAATTTAACATTCAAGGCAAAAAAATTATATCTATTCAAACTTCAATATATAAAATTCAAAATAAAAAGCTATAATGTATAAACAAGATAAGTACATGTAACAATTCAATAAGTTTTATTTCATCTAGCAACAAGCAACCAACAAAACAAATTTTTTTTTGTATGCTCAATAGCCAAAGTAAAACAACATCAATCTAATTGAAATCCCTCCGCATCCTCAGCAACCAACAAAACAAAAATGCCTTGGCATCCTCAATCAAACAACAACAACAACCTACTTGAAATCCCTTTGCATCCTCAAGAACCAGTTAAACAAAAATGTCTTTGCATCCTCAAGAACCAGTTAAACAAAAATGTCTTTACATCCTTAATAGCCAAAGCAAGCAACAGTAGCCTACCCAAATTTTGGTTCTACACCCTTAGATTCAGCGTCTTTCATTATTACAAAGATGATCAATATCTTCATTCTCAACATGTTCATCTTCACCTAAGTCACCAACATGTTCATTAAAATTAGTCTATGTTCCCAGTAATTCTTCCACATGATTTTGTTGTTCAAATTCATTGACTAATCATTATCAATTCCTATAAATTCTTCAACATGATTTTGCTGTTCAGATTTATTGACTAAATCTTCAGTTGAGTTATCAAGTGAACTATTTGTATTGTTTTGAAAAATTTTATCCAAAGCTCCCGTTCGAGATTGAGTTAATTCTTCTCTCTCTCTCTCTCTCTCTCTCTCTCTCTTAACTTCCAGATGGTTGTTTTTTAGGGAACATTGCTACTTGAAAACAAAAACAATGCAATTTTAATACTTCAAGGAATAAGCAAAAGAATCCCCCTCCACATAAACAAACTTGATTTTTCCAAATTGGCAATCACTTAGAGCTTAAAAGAATTCCTACAAAGAGAATGTGTAACTCATGTGAGTTCACAAATCTACAAACAAACAAAAAAATTCGTATTTTCCTTTTCATTTGATATCAAATATGAAAAATTACCTTAAATTGATTTCTACAAATACCAATTTTGCGCTGAACAATAACCCACACTTTGGACTTTGGAATCTCCCCAATCTACTAACAGAAAAATTAATTTAGGGATTCACAACTCTGTAACTAGTAGGAGAGGCTAAGAAGAGATGAGATGAGAAGAAGAAAAATTTAGAATAGAACTTTAACCTGGAGGAGTGGAACGGGTAGCGCAAAAGGGTTCTTCTTCTTGAGGAGTGGAAGGGTCTTTTTTCTCGAAAATATTAAAATAATTTATAATAATATAATATAACACTTATAAAAATAAAAAATTGGGCCCCTGAATAATGGGCCCAGGGGGGGTCGCATTGACTGCCCAGTTCAGGGCCTTGCATGATCTTTAGTTTTGAAGTGTTGATGCTTATCATAAGTGGTAGAAAAAACGACGGCTTCTACAATGAGGATCGCATCCTGAATATAGTGGGACGTCCAACAAATCTTTCTATGATCAAAATCTTCTTTTCTGAACTATGAGATGTTGATCTTCTAAATGAATACAATCTTGTTTCAGGAATGAGATTTACGGAAAGAAGGTGCTGGACTAGAATCAATGGATCCAACGGTAGTCGATTCATGTATTAAAGATCAAGATGCATACTGTTTGTGCAAATTTCTCAAGGGAGAATATTCACGTGTAGATCCTTTACCTTTTGAGCTTCCTTCTCTCTCTTTGTCGATTCTTACATAACAAACAGGAGTCCACACCCAGGGGGTGTGTTGTGAATTTTAGACTACCTGAAAAATTGAGATTATAAAGATTAGTCTAAACACAAATTATACTCGCAAGTGCACAAGGTCAATCGTAATATAGTATGGCAAATACAAGGTTATTCCCATGAGGATTGAGTTCAACTTCCAATTAGTCTAACCTAATTTACTTCACAAAATACTTTAACTACTGTAATTATATAAACAAGAAATTAAACACATAGCATACTCACGTAAACACAAAAGGGTTTTTTGAAAGAATGATTTAATTACTAACGAAATTAAAAGATAAAACAAGTAGAAAGTGATAAAACACTAGGATGAGAAATTCAAATTGACAAAAGCACTAGGACAATGAATTCATCACTAGTAATCTGATCTAGTCTCTTATTCACCTACCTATTAACTAACCATTTGATGTCGCCGCTTAGTTTTCCTTTTTCATGAATTACCAATGGTATTTAGGCTAACTCGTATATTCTTACATGTAATTCGCCTATGGTATTTAGGTCAAATATCAACACATAAAAACTCATTAAGATAAGTGAAAACCTCCAACAAGCATGTAAACCCTAGGAGTGTGGTATTTACCCTAGACGAATTACAAATCCTAATCACAAGATGCAAGCCTCAAATTAAGTATGGTATTTACTCTAACTTGCATCCGATTAACTTAATTAAAAGTCTATATGGTGATCAAGTATCAAGATAATTAACCAAGTTATTAAGCACAATGATTAAGATGAAGGGAATATTGTGGGAAGGGTGTTGTGTAGACATTTCTAAAAACTCTACAACCAAACTTTGAGATTATAAATCACCTAACATGTCATATCTAATATGCAAGTCTCATTTGGTCCCAATCTTTATAAGTCTATGAAAGTGTGCACCAAAGAGTCTCTAAATCCTATTTGAGAGAAAGATAAGATGTTCATACCCTTGGAGCGAATCTTGAAACCAAGAATGGTGTTCAAGTAGAGGGACTGGTCCCTTTGTTGTTGGCTCTCTCTTTGATGTTGATTCTCCACCTTGTAGCTCTCTAAATAGGTACAAAGATATGCACCTCCCCAAAGCTCTTCACTAAGGATTGAATGGGATGAGAGAATGAGTAGACAACAAGTAAAGAGTGGTGCTAGCACCTTCACTCGATGTGATAGATTCAAGGGGTTAAGGAGAGAGAGCTTGATGTTTTCTCTCTTCCAGTTTCATCAACTTGAAAACCTTAGGATGATAGATCCATAACTACACACTTATAGGGTCAAAAATGTCACAAGAGTGACAAAAATGCCCCCAAGCCCTAGCGTAGCCACACCCCTACCCTTTTTGTGTGTGTGTGTGTGTGTGTGTGTGTCATCTTTTGCTATCTTGGTCTAACACATTAATCTTATAATGTGTCACATATGTGCCTAAGTCCATATGGTTAAATCCCTTTTGAAATTTCAAGTCATATGGGACCTTTAATTAAAGTTTCGTAATTTAATTGAATAATTAAATTAATCTAATCAATTTAACTTGACTACTTCAATCACTCACTTGTCTTACGAGTGTTGGTCCTCATCATGCTTAGTTGACCATGTCAAGTGTCGAGTCAATCGTTTGACCTTTGACCTTTGACTTTTACATTGACTTTGACCAAGT